ATTTCTATTTTAACATGCTAATTGTTATGTATTCAGATGGACTTTGAATGCATGATCCGTATAGGACTTGATGTATGTGAAACATCTCATTGAAGTGCAATGTTAAGCCTGGGCTAGGATCCTAATGTAACCAATAGGAGCACTAGCCCAGGTTGTGTCATCCAATCACCTTACGGAGCGGGAGCGCTCGTGATTGGTCATTATCCGTTCAACCTGATAGGTTGTTATTTGTACAGTGGGAGTGGCTACATTAGCCGGGAAGGTTTAAAAGCAGGCCAGCTTCTGTGTTAAAGCTGTCCTGGCTGACTGATGTTGATCCGTGTTGGAGAAGTAACAAAGCTGAAGAATAAAAGCCGCATTCTTGCTGAATCACTCTCCGACTCTTTGTTAAGCACACGACTTAACACTAATAATGTACAACATAAATGCAGAAAAGAACAAGATATCTCTGTAGTCATATTTTGATCCACGAATGATGAATTAATGGTTGCCTGAACTTTCAAAAGCTGCTCTTGTGAAGTCTTTTGTACAGTGTAACCCTATTGCCTGTGTAGAAGAGCCCTCTTGAACAATTCAGGTTTGCATAGATTCAGGTGGGTAGCCATGTTGGTCTGAAGCAATAAAATGAAGTTTGTGTCCAGTGGCACCTTTAAGACCAACAGTTTAATTCTGGGTATAAGCTTTCGTGTTCATGCACTCTTTTTCAGATACATTGAAACAGAGTCATCAGCCATTACATGTAGGTAGCAAGTGAGGAGGATGTTGCCCATATCTGTAGACTTCTGCAAATGCGGGAACTGTAGCCTCTGTTCATAACTGGGTCACTGGCCACTTCTTCAGCTCTGCAGAAAAGAGCAGTGCTTCAAAAGCACAAAGAAAATTTGTGGCAGGGGATCAGGTTTTGCGAGCCACTGCTCTCTTCTAAGAGGGCTCTTCTACACAGGCAATAGGGTTACACTGTACAAAAGACTTCACAAAGTTACTTGAACAAATTAATAGGGTAGACCTGTCCACACATGCTTAAGGTAGGATAGCAGCTCAATGTTTCATTAGCAGTGGTACTTAAGAATATCTATTTTCATGCAACAGAACAAAGTTTGAGTTCAGTGGCGCTTTTAAGACCAACAAAGTTTATTTACACTAAAGCTTAGACCCAGAATTAAACTCTGTTGGTCTTAAAGGTGCCACTGAACTCAAGCTTTGCTTGGCACATTTTATGTTTATTGACTGTTAGCCTTTATTTAAGCTGGTTATAGTTTAACTCATTAGCTGAGAGAGAGAAGGAAAAGAAAGAAAGAGGGAAAAGGAAGGAAGGAAAGAGGGGAAAGGGAAAGAAAGGGAAAGAAAGGGAAAGAAAGAAATAGGGGGAAAGGGAAGGAAGGAAAGAAAGATAGAAAGAGAAAGAAAGGGCCAGAAAGGGAAGGAAACAAAGAAAGGGAAAGAAATGGGGGAAAGGGAAAGAAAGAAATGAGGGAATGGAAAAGAAAGGGAGCAAAGGAATGGAAAGAAAGGGGAAGAAGAAAATGGAAAAAAAGGAAAGAAAATGAAAGCCTCTGTGCATGTTTGCTTTCCCCAAGTTTTAAATTCTCCCACCAGCAGTTAAAAAGGAGTTTGAAGGCTTACATTTGTAACATCCCCCTTCGGCTGTGAGTTCCCGGGCTACAGAACTCACTCAGCCACCCTTTCTCATGTCCATTCAGCATATAAAAAATGAAAGTGAAACAAGAGCTCCAACAGGACCAAACTAAACCACACAGATATTAAGGGAAGTGCAGACTGTTCCATTACACATAGACCTGTATACAATGAATATACCACAACAACAGAAGAACAAGACCCTTTCGGGGGAGGAGGCGGGCTGGCTGGAGAAGGAAAAGGAGGCGGGGAGACATGCCTGGCTTCCCTGCTGGATCTTCTCCAGGTGCCCTGCAACTGGGGCACCTGGAGAAGATCAGGATGGGAAGCCAGTCATTTTAAAAAAAACCCTCTCTCTGCTTTTGTAGAGGGGCTCAGGGGGAAAGGAGGGCATGTCTCCCCACCTCCTATTCCTTCTCCAGCATTCCTGGCTTGCGGAAGAAGGAGGCGGAGGCGGGGAGTAGGGTTGCCAAGTCGACTCACCCCTCGGAGCGGGGGAGCCTTGCCGGCGTCTGGGAGGTCTCAGTGGCCGCGTAAGCGTGCGCGCTGGCAGCACGTCACCAGAAGTGACGTGCGATGTAGCTGACATTGGGGGCGTGGCCGAGCTCGTTGGGGGGAAAATCGGGCCTCCGAAGCGGGGGATTCCCTGCCCCCTGGCCCCATTTGGCAACCCTAGCGGGGAGACATACCTGGCTTCCCTGCGCAGTCTTCTTTGAGTGCCCTGCAGTGACAAGATCGCACAGGGAAGCCAGGCATTTAAATCCCCCCCCCCAAGTCTCTCCGGTTTTGCGGAGTGGCTCAGGGGGAAAGGAGGGTATTCTGCCCAGCTTCCTTTCCTGGCTTCCCTGCACAATCTTCTCTGAGTGCCCCGTGGCGAGAAGATCGCTCAGGGAAGCCAGGCATTTAAATCCCCCCCCCCAGTCTCTCCGCAAAAGCGGAGCGGCTCAGGGGGAAAGGAGGGCATGTCTGCCTGGCTTCCCTTCCTTGTTTCCCTGTGCAATCTTCTCCGAGTGCCCTGCAGCTGCGGGGCACTCGGAGAAGATCGTGCAGGGAAGCCAGGCATTTAATTCTCCCCCCTTGGGGCCTGGGCTTGTAGGAAATGACCCCTGAGTATAAAGACAAATAGAACAACACCCCTTCACCTTCCCCAGAAGAGAAAATGGACTACACATGTATGATTCTTTTGTACTGGCATGGAATGCCAGGAGCACGAAGGTTCTGCCAAAAACTGTCACTTTGTGCTTTTTCCATTAAGCTGAAGGGCAAACCGAGAGCAGAAGAATCTGAGGTTCTTCTCTTTCTCTTGAACCATCTACTGGACCTTACATTGTGCCCAAGGCAAATTTGAAGCACGCAGTTAACTTCTTCCTTCACTGACTTGCCTCAGCACAAAATCTAGTAGATTTTCCTTTGTCTGTACTGTCACAAAGGAGGTGCGGAATAATTTCCTTCACCCATACTAAGGTGAGCTTGCAAAGCAGGGAGGCAAATCCTTGCTTAGCAGGGCTCCCTTGGATTCAGCATGGAATCTGGGAGAGTCTGCTACATTTCTCATACTTCTAGAGAGGTTTGGATGAATCTCCTGTACCTATGCTTGGACTGATGCAGCTTGCAAAGCAGTGTGCCAGCTCCATGCATGTCAAGTTTCCCTGGGCTCCACACAAAGTCTGGAAGATGCTTATGTGCCTTGCTCAAAATGGCCTGTTGAGCACTGAGAAACTTCTGTCTAGAGTGCATGGAATGCTCAAACCTCTAAGTACTGCTAGTGTTAAAAGAGGGCACCTTTGAAATTCTGACACAGGACAGTGGGCACAACTGCCAAATGGCTGCTGCAGGAGGTGGAGCCAGCCACAACATTGCTGCCACAAGAGGCAGGGCCAACCATAAAAAAGCTGCTGCAGGAGGTGGGGCCAACTGCATAATGGCAGGGAGTGTGGTTATGCATAACTCTAATAGAAACTCTTCAGCATTTCCATCAGAAGCTCCATTTTACAGGATGCCTTTTAAAATTAACACATTGGTACACATTAGCATATTGCTATAAAATGTATACACACAGCTTGCCTTTTGTCACCAAACAGTAAAGAGACTTTAAATTTCAACAACACAATTAACAGGATTTTTCTAAATGCTTTGTGGTTTTCTGTCTGTTTCTCAATTAAAAAAAATTAGCAATTTCAAAATTTGTGTTTTTAATGTTTTTTACAACACACTTATTTTTGAAAATTGGGGGAGCGCATGGGGGGGGGGGCGCCAGAAGGGATCCTCGCCTAGGGTGCAAAATAAGCTTGGGCCGGCCCTGAGAAACATATATATCTAGTCTCAGCAATGACACGCCTCACACTAATTGATTACAAGAGAAGATAAACTCCCACTTTCTGAAGAGTCCCCAATCTGTAGTAACTGATATACTGAATTTTTAGTTTAATTTTTTCTTGTTCCTGCTCATACTTTGTTTGCTATTTCCACTGCTATTCAAGGGCCTTTGAAATATTCATCTTGTTCCCCGTTACCACAATCCCATTTGGATGGAGGCCACAGGAATCTTTTTGTAATTATCTCCCAGAATGATGTTCTGGAAATATGTGCTAGATCACACCTGCTTCTGTAATGCTGCCAGAACCAATTCAAAAAATGAACAAAAAGATGGGACATTGCAAAAAACTTGTGGTTTGCAATAGCCATTTGAAGAGTTCTACTACTTGTTCATTAAATTAATATAGTGGCAGGATATTGTTTCTCATTTTTGACTTGGAACAAATGTTTTTTTCTTTCTTTTTAAAACCCATGCCTATGTTCCAACTAGTATTTCATGCCTCTGATATGGTGCTTTCTGACATTTCACACACACAGTGTGGTGGATCTAAATCTCTCTGATCTAGCATATATTTTCATGGGAAACAAGAAAAATAAATTAGAGACTAATCGTGTTATGAAGGGAGTGGACTGGGATTAACATTTGAATTAGCCACACATTTCTTGGTTTCCTTGAACAATTTGGGTGTCCTTGGATTTAGTCATATATTATGTGTTGTATTTACATAACATATACTCTTTAAGGAAGAATTGTCACATAATTATGAGTTTGGTTATAGGCAAACAAAATGTAATGATATGGATTGATGCCCTCCTTATCTGCTGGTTGAGGCATCTCTTTGTTGCTTGTCCTGTACAATCACTGTTAAGAGCACTAGGTCTCTATCATTGTAGCAGTGGAAATAAAGAGGTGGGGGAGATGAAGGTCAGCCTGATACTATGCACATGTTGCTACCATGGAAACAGTTTCTGAAGCAAACCATGCATCTTAATATATAACAGATGCATGTGTGAATATCTAACTATGAAATACGTTTGTTTGTTTTTAGGTCAGAAGGTATGCTATGGTGATTCAACACATCCCTGTTACAAGATAGCTTATTTCCATGATGTGTCCAGACGTGTGGGTTTCCAAGAGGCCCGCCATGCCTGTGAAATTGATGGTGGTGTACTCCTGAGCCTACAAAGTGAAACAGAACAGACACTAATAGAAAATATGTTGCAGAACCTAACAAAGTCAGGCCACGGGATTTCTGATGGTGATTTTTGGATTGGTCTGTGGAGAAGTGGAGAGGGCCAAGCTACGTCAAATGCTTGCCCTGATCTTTACAAATGGGCAGATGGAAGCACTTCGCTCTTCAGGTATAATGTTTGTGTGGCTTTATTCAAAGATATTTGGCCTAAAATATAGGCAAAGAGTATTTTGGACTGGATTTACAATAGTCAGATAAGTTACCTATTTAAGATTTCAAAAACCCTTGAATACAAAATGGTCCCTTTGCATATTTTCACCATGTGATAAATAGAAATTTAGCCAGAGGTATAGCTGAATGAGTATTATCCCCCCATACTTGGCTGTCTTGCTGGTTTTCTTCCATCTTTCTTTCCTTGGGCATGGATTTTTTTCTCTCACTGACCATTGGGAACTTTTCATCTTTCCACAGCCTCCTTACATCCTTCAATAAGGCTCCTGCCTCTTTTCTCTCTTCCCTTCAGTTATATTCAGCTATAGTCCAACTATATTGCAGTGATCAGGGGTCTTGTTGTAGAAAAAGAGCTGCCGGAGCTCATTAGCATAACTCATTAGCATAACTTATTTGCATATGCCACGCCCCCTGACATCACCGGAAGTGACAGAAGGCCACACCCCCTGACATCACCGGAAGTGTGTCAGAAGGCCCGGCTACTTACCCTCCTGCTTCATCCTCATTCCCAAACGGAATGAGGATCGAAGCAGAGGGCGGGGTAAAGAAGGGGGCGGGGCTTCACCACGTGACCGCCCCGCCCCCTAGAGGTTCTCTTCCGGAGCTCCGTACCTGAGAGCTCCCCCCCGACTAGAGCCCTGGCAGTGATATTGAGATCAGGACTGCCAGGCCACACCTGGCAATTGGAAGGAGGGTTGGGGGGGCATGAAGGGCCACAACATTGTCTGCATTACTGTGTCACTTCTGGGGAAGACATGGGAGTGATGTAGGGCAGCTCTAAGAAAATTATAGTGATTCCTGGAGCTACCCTACATGTCTTCTGGGTTCCCCTCAGAAGTGATGTAATAGCACAATGGCATCATTTTTTCCCTCCCGCTGCTCCAAATGGCAGCAGGCAATTAGGGCAGCCATCAGGAAGCCTCCCAGTCCCACCGTAGCAGGAGACCTGGCAGCTGTAGTTGAGGTTTCCGCTAAAATTATGGGAATATTTGGAGAATACTTCAAGAGAAGTAAGTCCCTACATAAACAGTAGAGTTTACATTTGTTAGGTCCAAACCTTGGAAGGGTGTTTCATCACTCTGTAGTTTTTCTAGATAGTAACTCTGAAGGCTGGATAATAACTGAAGGCTGTGACCCAGATTGCTCAGGCTAGTCTGATCTCGACAGATCTCAGAAACTAAGCAGGATCAGACCTGACTAGTATTTGGATCGGAGAACGCCAAGGAATACCAGGGTTGTGAAGGCTGTTGCTGAACTCTGCACGTTTACATATATTCTTGAGCTTTTGCTTTCTGGACCCATTAAACAAGGCACTATTTGCCAGGTCCTTTAGGGATAATTCTTATATGACTTTCAGTGTCTGCATGTGAATACAGGAATTGTATGACAAACAAGCACACAACAAATAGTAAAAGGAAATGATCTACCTTGTAGTTCTCTTTCCAATAACAAATATGCTCAGAATAGCCAAAGAAGAACATGAAAGAGTCAGATTAGCATATTTTTGGTTGAAAGCTAGTTGTTGTTGTTGTTGTTCAGTCGCACAGTCGAGTCCGACTCTAAGAGAACCCATGGACCAGATCACGCCAGGCCTTCCTGTCTTCCGCCGTCCTCTGAAGTTGGCTCAATTTCATGTTAGTTGCATCTATGACACTGTCTAACCATCTCATCCTTTGCCGTCCCCGACTTCTTTGACCTTCAAATTTCCCAGCATCAGGGTTTTCTCCAGTGAGTGCTCCCTTCTACAGCTAGAGTGGTTTCCATTTTTCTATAAGCTTTATTTTTTGTTCAGCTCTGATATGGCAAAAGGAGCCTGTTCATCCTTATGAAGGTAATGTTGTTAATTATATTGACGTTCTGAGGGAAGTGGTTATCTCTAACCAAACCTAACCCCAGACATTTATGGTACTTTATACTTTATTATTAAGTATAAAACCGGAGCTTTTTTTCTGGGGGAACATTCCAGAACACAGTTCCAGAACCTCTTCAACAAAATTCTTTTAAAAATGTTTAAAAGTTTATTCGTTTTCAGTATACAGATTGAAGGCTTCATTTCTGTCTTGAGAGTTCCGGCACCTCTTTTGCAATTTTTTTTAAAAGCCCTGTATAAAACTATTCTGGGTGGAGTAGTGCCTTGTCATGACCCCACCAGGTTGCCACCTTCCGCCATCACCATTCTGGACTTCGGGTTCCTTGAGAAGGCCCAGAGTACCCTCCCAAGCCCATCCAAAATGCCCCCTTTTAAGCTGAGAACATAGGCGTGATGACTAGGCAGAGAACAATTAAACAAATGGTTTATTAACAGTACTGGCGCAAGGAACACAATACAAGATGCTTTGAAATATATAACAGTGTTTAAAGGCAAAATAAATGAATCTAACGTGACTACCTAGTTCACATAACTGGTTACTACTTCAAGGCCCACGGCCTGCCAGGCCTCCTGACTGTACTCACTGTCCCAAGTGAGGGATCTTTCTCTCAGACCAGTTCCCTCAGTTTAGCTCTGTGTGAGGCCAGACCGCAGAAGAGCAAAAGAACACAGTTCCCTGCAGTTGAGCTCTGTGAGAGGAAAGAACACAGTTTTCCACAGCCCGCAGAGTATGTAACAATCGCCTCAGGAATCCCTGGACACTGATAGGTTACAACTGTCACTAAGCCTTATGGGGATTGTAGGCTATGTCTGCTTTCCACTGCCATGCAGGTCTCTCCTGGGACCAGGCCGCACCAGGCCCTGTCTCCCAGTCCTGCACAGATCATGATGTGCCTGAATTCAAAAGAAGAGGAAAGATTGGTAGGAAACAATCCAGATTTCCAATGTAATTTTTGCTGTATTTATGCGTTATGTCAGAAATTGGTATACAGATGAACCTTCCTGTGGGAGTGAAGCATGTGTTGTGATGTATCATCAGCCAACTGCTAATCCTGGCTTGGGAGGGCCCTATCTTTACCAATGGAATGATGACAGATGCAACATGAAGCACAATTTTATCTGCAAGTATGCTCCAGGTAAGCAATGCCAAAGCCAGTCTTCACGTATCATTTTTGCTTAACTTTCCAAAATAACATTTGGTAGTAAGTTTAAGCTGATTTTAAAAAACAGCAACAAAAAACATTGCATAACAAGGAAGATTCAGACAAATATGCATCAATAATGATGCTTTTTAAAAAGAACTGTCACAATAGGCTTAATTGGTTATATTGCTATAGAAACCATATTTTTTAGTCCAGGTTAAATAAAAAATGACAGGATATCTGTATAGATCCCTTCTTAATACCCAGAAACACTAATGTGTACTCTCATCAGTAGCTCAGTCACCTCAGGAATTGGGGGGGGGGGAAATTAACAAGTGTGGGACACACAAGGACTTATGGGAAGCATCTGATTCCCCCCTATACCACTACTATACCCCCTATACCTGTTTTTCTTCCCTGAAAAGCCCCCATAGCCTCTCCCCTTTTCCCGATTCCTTCTCTCTTTCCCACCCACTAGCAAACACACCATTATCTAGCCTCATCTTCAGCTTTCCCTCCTTCAGTTCCCTGGCTGCCTCCACCCAGGAAAACTATGGCCCAGTTGTTCAGTGCTAGCCATCAGGCTGGGACCCAGTTGTGTGGTGGGGAACCCACAATTACTTGTGGGGGGCACCTCATTTTCCCCTGTGTTCCTTGCCACACTGTTTTTTCTTTCTCTCCTCCTGGCAACCCCCATATCTTCACCTTTCCTCCTACCCACCAACACCAGCCTTTTATCTGCTCCCATCTTCAGCTATATTTATTATTTATTTACTTCATATCCTGCCTTTCTTATTTATTTTATTCAATTTATGCCTCACCCTCCCCAGCAAGGCAGGCTCAGGGCGGCTTACACAATACATAAAAATACACTTAAAATACATCATAAAACTCATTATAACTAATCAAGCAAAAACAGATTGGTTAATCTAAAATGTATAAATAACTATCCTAAAGTGCTGGTACAGTTGTCAAATAAAGTGCATGAGCAGAAATTTCAGATTAAACCATAGTCCATGGGTGACAGTCATAATGATGTTCCCACATGCTCCATTGGTCTACATTTACCTAGCAAGTCAGGCTAGAGATGGTAAAGCCAGGGTACAGGGTCTCTTCTCAGATGTCACACGTGGCTCCTAGTTGAAAGCCTAGTGGAAGAGCTCCATCTTGCAGGCCCTGCGGAACTGTAAAAGGTCCTGCAGGGGCCTGATCTCTTCTGGGAGCTCATTCCACCAGTGCGGAGCCACTACTGAGAAGGCCCTGGCCCTGGTTGTCGCCAACCTGGCGTCTTTGGGACCTTGGAGGGACAGCTGATTTTGGGCCCCTGAACGCAGTGGTCTCTGGTTAACATATGTGGAAAGGCGGTCCCTTAGGTATGCTGGACCCTGACCTAGAGGGCTTTAAAGGTCAAAACCAGCACCTTGAAGCGAATCCAGTACGCTATTGGCAGCCAGTGCAGTGCTTTCAGCATAGGCTGGATGTGTTCCCGTATGGAGAGACCCATCAACAGCCTGGCCACAGCATTTTGCACTAGCTGCAGTTTCCGGGTTTGAGACAAGGGCAGCCCCATGTAGAGAGCATAACAGTAGTCTAACCTCGAAGTGACCATCATGTGGATCACTGTTGCCAAGTCGTTGCCTTTGAAGGAAGGGAACCAACTGCCTAATCAGCCGAAGGTGATAAAAGGCCGACTTGGCAGTGGCTGCTACCTTGGGCCTCCATTGTTAGAGAGGCATCTAGGAGCACTCCTAAACTCCTAACCTCCGATGCTGGCACAAGCTGCACCCCATCGAAGGTCAGGAGTGGGATCCCTACCCTCAGACTGCCCCGACTCAGGCACAGGACCTCCGTCTTCATCTAAATCAGTTTCAGTTGACTCAGTCTAAGCCAACGAGCCACAGCTGGTAATGCCCAGTCTAGATCTTCTGGGTTAGAGTCAGACTGGCCGCCCAACAACAAATAGAGCTGGGTGTCATCCGCATATTGGTGACACCCCAACCCAGGCCTTCGTGCAATCTGGGCAAGGGGGCACATATAGATGTTGAACAGCATCGGGGAGAGTACTGCCCCCTGAAGCACTCCACATATCAGTGGGTGCCTACAGGACAGCTGTTCCCCTAGTGCCACCCTTTGTCCCCGACCTTGAAGGAAGGATGCGAGCCATTGCAAGGCAAGCCCCTGAACTCCCACGTCGGTGAGGTGGTGGATCAGTAGCTGATGGTCGACCATGTTGAACGCTGCTGACAGGTCGAACGCTGCTGACAGAGAGCCAGTTTGGTGTAGTGGTTAAGTGCACGGACTCTAATCTGGGAGAACCGGGTTTGATTCCCCACTCCTCCACTTGCACCTGGCTGGATGACCTTGGGCAAGCCATGGTTCTGATAAGAGCTGTTCTTGAAAAAGAGCAGTTTCTGTCAAGAGCTCTCTCAGCCCCATCTACCTCACAGGGTGTCTGTTGTAGGGAGGGGAAGGGAAAGGAGTTTGTAAGCCGCTCTGAGACACCTTTGGGTAGTGAAGGGTGGGGTATAAATCCAATCTCTTCTTCTTCTTCTAACAGCAACAGCACTGCCGATCTGCCTCGATCCAGATGCCTCCGGAGGTCATCTGTGAGGGCGACCAGTGCAGTCTCCGTCCCATGGCCTGGGCAAAAGCCAGACTGGAAGGGGTCTGGAATGAAAGCATCATCCAAAAAGCTCTGTAACTGGACTGCCACAGCCCTCTCAATTAGCTTGCCCAAATTTCTTCACAATGAGACCCACATCATTCTCCTGTCCTCACAGCAACACTGTGAGGTAGGCTAGTTGGACAGGGCCTGCCTGGCCGAAGATCACCCAGTGAGCTTTTATAACTGAGTAGGCATTCAAATGTGGGTCTTCCAATCCTAATCTGAAACTCTAATCACTGCACTTCACTGATTACATTTCATCGATGGCTCCTGTTGAACAGTGGCAAACAGCCAGTCCTGGGTGACTTGTGCAAATCATATGGTATCAAGTCTTCTGGTGGTTGCTGTTAGGCCTGGACCCAGTGAGTTTTCCTTCAAAACTCAGAACAGTCTTGGAAAGGTCCCTGCCCCTTCTCCTGCCATTCATTACACAAACTAAAACTCAACTGACAATATTGTTGTGGTTGCCTGGCAAACCTCACAATGGCCACTGCAGAGGTCATTTGTTTCTTTAAGCTACAGGTGCTGCTTCTATTATTTTGGGGTTATTTATTTATTTATTTATTAGACTTCTATCCCACTCCGTTCTCTACCAAGCAGGGCTCAGGGTGGCTTACAACAATTCCCCAAAGGTTTCCCCCCCCAAAAAATAGATCTCAGATTTTTCTACAAACATGGGTGTGTTGTTTTTTTCAGGTCTATAGAAAGATCTGTCTTGTCTGTTCATAACGCCAGTCTTTGAATTTAAGTTTCCACAGATTTGGCCATGTTGAGAATTAGATATATTGATGTAGCACTCACTGATTCACAACTACAATATTTTGGTATGCATGTAGACTCTTCAGTTGAAAATAAAATGTGGTGGAAACAATGGCTTGGATCCTGCATTGCTCAAGTGGAAACATAAATGGACTTCTGCTTAAGCAAGATCAAGTCTAATACCTAATGCTTTTCTTATATATTATAGTTCCCAGAAATTGGTTGTACAAGATCTAGTGCAAAAAGAAATACAAATGAGGATACAAGGTTTGACTTTGTGCAAGCAGCTACTGTGGTCTTTTTCTTATGTTTGCATTGGCACAAGAGCTCTAGCACAAGTCAAAATGTTGTACTGGATCCAACCCACTGTATGCTGCCCTGGGCTCCTTGGGGAAGATGTAGTAGGTTAGGAGAAAGATGTAGTAAGCAAATGGTCTATACTATGCACATTCAATTGGTTGTACTTCTGGTCAAAACGGACATGCAAATAATAGGAATGGAAGTGCCTGTGCATGTACCTGCATCTGACCGAGGGGCCTACACATTTAATGTTTCCTTTGCCTTGCCATAACCATAGTGTAACATATATTGTGGCATAGCTGTGGGATGACATATTTTATGTGTGAAGATACTGCAGGCTATGGCATGACTATGGCAGTTCTGTTACTCCTCCCAAGAAGTAATCAAATAAAAAGTGTGCAAGTATTTAGTAATTCTCCCCTGTATATAAGAAAAGATCAAAGCTTTTCCAGAGTTTGAGTCCACTGTTGACGATATGAGTAAATAAACTTGAGCCAGCATCTACAAGCCCCAAAACACCTGGTTAGAGACCCAGCAGGAGGGACCATTATTCAGTGGTAGAGCATTTTAAAAATTCAGTTCCCACATTCAGACCCCACTACATCCAATTACAGGATCCCAAGTAAAAGATATTAGGAAGATTGTTCTGTCTGTAACACCCTGGAAAACCACTGACAGCCACAGTAGACAATTAAGATTGGCCTATAGTATAAGGCAACTGGCTCCATATGTTCTGCATATTTTTTAAAAGCACAATACAGTATCCCCTGGAGCATGACAGCTCACTTCCTTTTAGTCTGTTAAAAGAGGAGGTTTAGATTAAAATATACGATACAGGGTTTTAAAAAAATGAACATTGTGTATCGTTCAATGTAATGTGTACAAAACAATGTAAACAATCTGTTTTTGTTTTTCATTGTCGACCCATTGATTCAACAGATGACATCCTTGAAAAAGAATTAGGAGATAGAGCAGATCCAGATTATGGTAAGAAACATTTGGATTGAATTGCAATGGTGAAGTAATACAATCTCATTCATCATTTACAAAATCCAAACAATCCTATAAATTAGAAAAGCAGACTAGAAATAGAACAGAGGAACAATGAACCCCATTGAGAGTAATATTTGCAATGTATGTTTTTATAAGCAGATAGATATATTTTGAAATATAGTAGGTTGTAAGTCCTATTCCAGATGTGATCCCAGTGGTCTGATAAAGCTACGTAGACAACTGTATCACCCACCCTTGATTTGTTTTTGAAGCTGATGAGCTGTGAAGTCGGCATTGTCTTTTCAAAGTGAAATAATGTGGCCAGGTGCTGCAACACAAATACATTTTGTTGTAGTTGTAATATTTAATTTCTTTTTCAGAAGTTCAGACAACAATGCCAGCAGGGAAGTCTCATGATTCAAGCAACCCAGAAGATAATTTTCCTGTGGTTGTTACTGAAACTGGTAATTAATGCACATATGATTCTAATATTAATGTTTTTGTGTGTAAGAAATAAACCATGCAGATGTGCAATTGCCATTTATTAATACTATGAGTAAACTGGCTATGTCCCAGAACTAAAAATGAAACTAAGCTCCAGGATAAAATATCAAGATGTTTCTGCAATCAGCTTTTGAAGGGAAGGAAAATAGATTTTAAAGGGAAATGTTAGAAACTAGAGTTAGTCACTGTAAGGTACATATTCCTATCCATTCTGCCAAACATCTTCTCTTCCTCTTCCTCTAGGACCACACAGAAGCAAAGAATCTGTAGTTAGACTTACATGTCCAATCCTGATTGTCTGCACCATATTTTACGTGAATAGGTCCTGACATAGTTAATGAACATGATGTTGCAAAATGTTTTATTCATAAAGAAGTTTCAGAACCAGTGTTTTCCAGTCAAGGATTTTGATGATGAGTTCATGAGCTGAGGAACAGTTTGCGGAAGTATGAGATGTTCAAAGATTTGTCAGTCTTCTGTTTTGGGATCATTCCCAATCTAGGAAGAAAATTTTCTCCCACAAGAATGAAGCTAGAGTCTGCCTGAGATTCCCAACTGAATATGCAGTTTTCATTATAATACATTTAAAAAGCTCATATTTCTATTGTCCTTTTGGTGTTAAAAGTATATTGTGATAGTAATCCTTACAATATTTTCATATTGTAAATGGAGGTCTGAGGTGGAGAACAAGACACTGATTCACCATGCCCCACCTCCAGTGAGTTTTCAGCTGAGATGAAATTTGTATCGGTGATCTGTCAGATCACACCTCATTCTCGTAGGCGCAATATACAGGCTAAAAGTGTAACATGTGAACAACCAGCATTTGTAGTGGGGGACAAAAGAGAGAAGAGTTTCATTTCACTTTAGTCCAGATTCAGATTTGTCACCTGCTGTATAAAAACCTTGAACTAGCTATTCACACTTTGAACTCGTTACAGTCAGTTATAATCTATTACCAATACAGAACACTATACATGAAGTCAAAAACATTAATAAACATGATCTAATATTAGGCATGACATACTTTCAAATAAGTTTCCAGTTAATTTTGTTGTGTAAAGGTGTGCAGTCCTGACAGAGCCTGTTTCCATTGCTCAGTTCTTCGTGTGGCTGGGAAGGTCAGGCACCTGGGGAATCACCTTTTGGGGGACTCAATTCCTGTGTCTTCTGGGTCCAGCTCTGTAAACATCTAGGGCAGTGGTGGTGAACCTATGGCACGGGTGCCAGAGGTGGCACTCAGAGCCCTCTCTGTGGTCACGCGTGCCATCGCCCCAGCCAGGCCCAGACCATTAAAGTGTCGAATTCTCTGCCAAATAATTTAAAGTAAATGAAAGCATTTGGGATTGCTTTCCTTACTTTGGTTGGATCATCTTAAGTTAATGTATGAGTTGTTTTTTTCTAAAGTAAAACCTCAGTATTCAGGTTAAATTGCCGTGTTGGCACTTTGCGATAAATAAGTGGGTTTTGGGTCGCAGTTTGGGCACTCGGTCTCTAAAAGGTTCGCCATCACTGATCTAGGGCTTAGACAGAAAAGGACTTCGGCTTTTCCCACTGAGCCTTGTCCGACAGCTTCATTTTTCTCCAACACCTTGAAGCCTTAAACTCAGTAGTGCCTGTTTCCAGCTAGCCTTGCTAAGGCTGGCATGAACAAGAGGCATTTTCTTACTGACTTTTGCAACATGTGTGTGATCTTGCTCCAGTTCAGGGTGGTTTTCCTTTGCTGAAAAAGAACCAGGTGGTTTCAGTTTTGCCAAGAAAAAGTGGAATGGCATTCCACCTACCCCTTTTTGAGCATTGTGAATAACGTAATTATGGCTGCAAACTGCAGAACACTTTCCTGAAAGTAAATTCAATTGAATAAAATTGGACTTACTTTTGAGTAGACCTGCTGAAGTCCCACTGAAATCATAGAAAATCAATGGCAGAATAGCTAAGAAAATGTTTTTTCATATTTTCAGAGAACCCTTCCAGATTAATATATCTGCCTAGGAAGTCCTTGACATCTGCCTTATGGACTGGACTGGAGAAATACATTTGATTCCTTTAATAGAGGTTGAAATGATTGGTTGAATCTTTTCATGGCATGGAGATAAATAACATCACCTAGTAAATAACTTCCCATAAGTCTCAGTTAAAGGGACAGGGCATTCTTTTCTTCAGGCCACTTAAAAACCCTGTACATAGCAAAATCTTCTTAGATACGTAGTAGGAAGGGAACTCAGTTTAAAGCTGTTGGGCTTCATCATTGTCCCACATGAACTGCAGGAATCTCCTGCAGTTGCACATGGGTTAGTTGCAGGTAAGTTTTTAAGTTTAACGTTTTTGTCTGCTGCTACCAATTGCTGGTCTAAGAATATTTGAAAATTATAAACACCATAGTATCCTGTGGCACCTTAAAGCCTAGAAAATGTGACATAAACATTACTGGACTGTGGTGTACATAATTCAGTGTGTGAACAACTGGCTTTAGAGCGCTTTCTCTGATTGTGCTTCTTTGTATATATTGAGTACAACAAAAGAGACATCCCATATGGTTTAGTCAGATAGAAATGCAATGCTATAAATTGAAATAAAAGGCATTAATTAGACCCTTTTTCTTGTAGGTTTAATTCCCAATCTAATTTATGTTGTTATACCAACTATACCACTGCTCTTGTTGATATTAGTGGCTTTTGGGACTTGCTGTTTCCAGATGCTGCATAAAAGGTAAATATTATACATGGCCAAAATTGGGTCTTGGGCTCATGCACTGTGAAATTCATACTTCCATTTGCGAGCTATTCATGTTCAAGGCCATTCTATATGCAATGCAAAGCCATTCACATTTTCATTGCAAAATTAACTTTGCCCCACTGTTATATATTAGAATAATGGAAAAGCGTATTTAATGATGTATCAAAGCAGTAAGAATGAATCCACATATCACAATAGTTAATGAAGTATGTATCCAACAAAATCTTTTTGCTTCTGGATATTTACTGCAAAAACAGTGTTCTGCTAGAATGGCTAGAAAAAGCCACCCCATATATATGGAAAAAACACAGTATTTAATGTATGTTGGTTTAGTGGCTCCCCAACTTAAAACTGAATTTATCATATTTTCTATTCTACTTGCACACCTTTCCTTTTAAAAAAAGCACTTACTGTGGAGCCAAGATCTGAGATTATTGTCCAAGGCTGGATCAGCACATCCCCGTCATCCATATTATGCTCATTGTCAGAATAATATTTTTTTATTCTACACTGTATGAAGCCAGTGTATTTAGTCTCAGACACATACAAGAAGAAGCAAGAGCAACATGAAGCTAGGTGTGTAGGGATGGGCACAGACTGAGAAAATGCTATTTGTTTCACTTCATGGTTCTTGGTATGCCCGGTTTGTGTGCCATGAACTGTCATGAATGTTTAAGTGCAAAACAAACTGGTTCGGTTTGTGATGTGATAAAATGCACCCCCTCACAACGTGCTAGAGACATCACGTTGCTGAAAATCACTGGCTAACTCTTCTCCCCCTGCCCTCCAAGTTTGGTGAGGATTGGATTTATGAGTCTGAGTTACAGCCCTCAAAAAAGGTGCCCCCAGGAATACTTTCTGGGGAAATTATGGGTTCAAGTTCAGGAGGTTCAAGATTGTATAGAATGGACCTGTGCAAGCTAGAGACATCAAACTCACAGGGGACTTCCCCCTGATGCTCCTCAACATGCCCTCCAAGTTATATGCAGATTGTACTTAGGGGGTCTGAGTTATGGTCTCCCAAAGAAGATTTCCCCAGGAAAGTGCTTTTGGGGAAAATATCAGCCACAGGTTCAAAAGTGTATAGAATGGACCCCCTGCAAGCTACACACACCAAAAGTGCAGGGAACCTCGCCCTGCTGCCTGCTCCTCTACAAGAAGAGGAGGAAGAAGAAGAAATTGGATTTATACTCTGCCCTTCACTTGGAGTCTCAGAGTGGCTTACAATCTCCTTTCCCTCTCCCCACAACAGACACCCTGTGAGGTAGGTGGGGCTCAGAGAGCTCTTTCAAGAACTGCTCTTGAGAGAATAGCTCTGAGAGAACTCTGATTGATCCAAGGTCACTCCAGCAGCCGCATAGGAAGGAGTGGGGAATCAAACCTGATTCTCCCAGATTAGAGTCTGCAATCCTAATCACTGCACCAAACTGGCTCTCCCTCTCTTGCTTTGAAGTTTAGTAAACATTTTGATTGAGTGAAGACAGTCTGGAAATGTATCCATTCATGAACCACCACAAATCTCTTGAAAGTTCATGGAAAGTTCATGCCAGTTGACCTGCAACAAACTTCAGTTCATGAACCACAAACTGGCCAAAATGCATCACAAACTTTAGTTCATGAGCCAGTTTGTGCCCATCCCTATAGGTGTGACTAGCAACACAAGGCTCCCACTAAAACCGACAACATTGTACTTAATCAGACTTCACGTGGATGTTGGATGTGGAGACAACTGGCTGAACTCATAGGAAAGTCTGAATAAAACTTCAAGAAAGATAAAGTTGACACAGTATCCTGGGTTGGTTCCAATGGATTTGTTCTGCTAATTGGTAGTACATTGCTCTGGTATAAGGTGCCCTCCCCTGACACTCTTTAAACTCTTGTGTCAGAAGAACACACCTTGTGCCAGAAGGTGCTACTTAGTGGAACAAATCCATATGATCCAATCCCCTGTGTCAAGCATTGCACCCACCTTGAGGGAGGGGTTCTCAGCCATAGTATTCTTGCTCCTATAGACACAACAACATACGATGATACCTTCTTGTAATATTAAAAGTCAAAGCAAGGGCATGGAAAACTTTTATGTTGTCCTCCCATAAAGGCGGCATTTTCCCTGTGCTTCATGGCAACCAACACCTCATTCATGCTTAGCTACTTTCCCTTTCCTTTCTTCCAGGGAAGCAAGGAGAAACTGCCTCAATGACACATCTCCATTATCATCTGAATGCCTTGCAGAAAGTTTAGATTCTAACTTGGTATATTTCTCAGTTTGTATGATGGTATTTCAAAGTTGAAACTACAATTCCTGACAATTTCCTCAAACAAATCAATACTCTCCCCAGAAAAGTTGCACAAACTCCTAACCTGCTGTTAGTCTCATTCAGTTTAAAAGTTATGATTATCTATATTACTTATGGATGTTTTTAATAGTATAGGTTCCTACAACACATACATTGTTACAGCCATGGTATAGTAACCACTGTTCCTTGGCTTCATCCCACAGTACTAGTATAATGTTTAAAGGACTGACACCAGTTGTGTGGTATAAGTTGTGTGGGTCCTTATACCCAGTTGTCTTGTCTGATCTAGGCTGGGTAAGAATTGACTGAGAGGTCTTCCATGATTGGTGCAGCAGTGTTCTGGAGTGAAGTAATGGAAAAGCAGCTGCCATGGCAGTGCTGGAAAAGAATAAAGGAAACCTATGGTAATGAAGAAATATCTTTACATGCAAAATTGGTTTCCAAGCACTGTATATTAAGAATGGACTGAGGGATCAACACTACTTTATTAATTATAATAATATGCAGTGACTTTAGGTCTGATCCAAATGCAGTAGTAATTAGTAGATATTTGGGGGATTTTGGATCACTTTACAAGCAGCTTTGGATCAGGTTATTAATGGAAAAAACCTCATACAATTTTACAGGTAAGTCTAAAATACTTTTGGTGTTAAACAGTTAATGTGAAACAATGCCTACAGCATGTGAAATATGTTTTTTGTATTAAATAAAAAAGTGAGTGGCACTTTTCCCTTCATGTCTCCTTTCAGTCTGGAAATAAAGAGCAGGGTCAGGAGACTCTCAGAATTGGTGTGGGATATACCATGGCATTCCATGATGGGAAGGGGGAGGGTGATTTGACAGAAGTCATTTTCTCCTCTTGTACAAATAGAAATGCCCTCCCACTCATGGAAAGAGAATCCAAACTGTTTGTATGGTAAATTACTGGATCTAGCAGAGTCCAAGAATGGGCATCTACCCCCAGAAATCTGTAGATGGACTGTGTAGCTCCATGAAGCAGTACATGCTCTATAGAATATCTTGGTATGTTCTCTTAGCATGAAATGTTAAGATTAGATCAGTTTGCAGCTATGTGCATAATGGTTTTTTTACAGGTGGCCAAATAACGGATATTCAGTAATAGAAGCAATTCTGCATCTTTTTACCATAATTCATTCTACCTTATCATCAATCTTCTATTGTATCTTTAGCTAAATCTGAGAGAGGAATGTACATCCTGTAGATCTATAAACATACACATGTGCTTTTAATTTTTCAGTAAAGGAAGAACAAAAACTAGTCCGGACCAGTCAACACTATGGATTTCAAAGAATCCCAGGAAAGATAGTAGCATGGAGGTATAGAGATATGACTCAAAAGTGAGGAGGAATAACATTTTTTTACATGCAGGAAATCTTATATTGTCATGTCAGATATTAGCTTGGAATGGCTTGAAATTGCAAAGGATCAGCAACATGAACTGGAAGCTCCCTCTTGAGGCAACTGTTCAAATCTTTTTTTATATGCAATGCTTTATTTTTAATTCAGCAGCAAAATGTGCCATTTTAAAAGGAAAAGAATGCATTTATTTTGCTAAGGAAAATGACTCCACTACAGATAGCAAGGAGACGAACTGAGCATCTGGAATATGTATGGGAAAATGTCTACTGTATATGTCAGTTCTAAAACAATTGTTTTGAGTTTAAATTAACCTTTCCCCCTTGTTAGTTTCTCATACATTGTACCTTAATTGATGTACTGTAAATTCAGTTAGTATAAATTTACAGTGTAAGAAAGTAATTTATCTTTGCATAAAAGTTTGATAAAATATTGATTGTATGATTATTTATATGGCACCAAAAGTGATTTCGTTGTTATTCTAACTTTCATCCACTTCAGTAAAGGTGCTTGAAAGTGCTGTGAAAGTCATCTGCAGTTAAGGATGCACACACTTGTAAATGTTTCATTCTTTGGTGTTTGTTAAAGTTTGAAAAGCCCTCCTCCATTATTGCCAAGTACCTTTCCCCCCAAAATTAGGTAATTAGGGGTATGCATTTGGGTTCGGTATATTGAACCTGAAAAATATTGATATTTCCCATTATTCCTGAGTTCCAGTACCGGTATGGTATTCAGATTCAGGATTTTTTTTTCTTGCTCCATTATACCCTATGGGGACTATTCCCCATCTCCCTTATAAATAAAAGCCTAATGGTGGTGGCACTTCTCTAGAACATTCCATATGCTCCAAAATCAGTTCACTCTCTGATCTGTTATTCAGAGGGTCTCCCTATCCACTGGCTGCTTTGCCTGAGTCCTGCCTCCAACTTTCTAAACAGTTTGCTTTTCCTGTCCCCCCCATAGCCAGTCAGAACACAGAGGTCGTTTGCATATGCGACTTTATTGGCTTTTGCCTCTAACATTCTAAACAGTTTTGCTGTTCTGAAGTAAAATGTGTCCAATCTCCAGGTGAGGGCTGGAGATCAGTCAGAATTACAACTGCTTTCCAGATGGCAGAGATCGGTTCCCCTGGAGAAAATGGTGGGTTCTCTATCTTTATATGCTGCTGAGGTGGCCCCCGTATGACAGCCAATGTGATGTAGCAGTCAGGGCTTCAGAGCATGGGAGAGGCTGCAGGTGTGTGGGGGGTGGAAAGCTGAAGAGTGAGGGGGAAATAAAGTTAGGTTGATGATTGGCTGGGAGGGAGATAGGGTTGCCAACTCCAGGTGGGAAATTCCTGGAGATGTGAGGGATGGAGCCTGGAGAGGGTGAGGTTTCAGGAGTTGTGGGACCTCGGACAGGTACAAAGCCATAGACTCCACCCTCCAAACCAACTATTTCCTTCTGGGAACCATAGTTGCCAATCTCCAGGTGAGGGCTGGAGATCACTCAAAATTACAACTGTTCTTTAGGTAGCAGAGATCAGTTCCTCTGGAGAAAATGGTGGACTCAGTGTCATTATACCCTGCTGAGGTCGCCACAGCAAATTGACACTGAGTGTCCAAGGCCAGGGCACCCGCCCAGAGCCTCTTTCTAGAGGTCGTTGTATTTATTTCCACAATGGGCCTTTTTCCTAGTAGAGTATAATGGAGAATCAATCCAGAGGTATCTGGGGCTCTGGGCTGTTGTTTTTTTGAGGTAAAGGCACCAAATCTGCAGCAATGCTTTTGGGGGTGGTAATTTATTTTAACCCATTAAAATATGATTCTTTAAGTGAAAAAATCACTACCATTTTCCAGAGTTCTAAATGGGCTGGGCATTATGACCTGTTGTTTTGGTTTCCATATGTGTATCAGTAGGGATTAAAAGGAATCTTCTTCCCCTCTATTCTAAGTGCAAGCAGATGCAATTGTAATCAGAATTGTGCCTCTACACCCCAAGTTAATGTTTGTGTTTAATTATTCGCCTTTTGTTTTTTCAAGAAATCAGCTAGCTTTTTCTTTTAGGCACCATGGGTTTTAATTGTTACACATTTAAATTGATTTAATTTGTTTTAATTAGCAGATGTTCCTTTTTCTTTGCACACACTGGCAAGTACCTTAACCATCTATTCAGCTGGATAGGGTCCTATGGATACTTAGCCCCCTGATCATTCTGTTATCTCTAATGGTTCCTAACCAACCATTCTGAGCCATTAATCTAACAAAGGCATGGCTAATCCACATTCACTATTATGGATCTCTGAGGACACGGGGTATGAGTCCCTGATGGAGCACACTTTGTAAGGGACCATGATAACATCCCAAGTCAGGAAACAAAGAAACAAAGACAGTGAAAGAATGCAAAATAAATAAACAAGATGAAGGATGGGTGGTGGTGGTGGTAGAATAACAATAGAACTATGATGAAAAAATAATTCCACCTAGACTTCCACAAGCAATCGTACAAGCTTAGTTGTGTTTTCTCTGTACCATGCTGCAAAATAGACCATTGAAAACAACATGAGTTTTGTTGAACAGGCGAACCTATTTGTTTCTTGTGCATCCCCTCTGCAGTGATAAGCTTCCAAAACACAGGGGAAACTTCTGATTCGCTATGATGAGTACATTTTACTAGCAAACGAGTTATCTTTATGATTGGCTTATCGAGAGTCACCATGAATCATTCTGCCCATGGCAAACTAATTCAATGCAAACATCATTTGATTCACTTAAAACAAACATGTTTTGACAAAATAAAAAGGCTATTACTTGGTGTATACATGAACTAGGTTTATGTTATAAAAATAAACTGTAACACCCTGTATTCTCCTGTGACAGGCAAAAATGCACAGGGTTTTAGACTTTTCCTACTGCATAACTTTTCACATTGCAGAGTTATTTTGTCAGTGATCTTTCTTCAAGTGCCTACCCTCCTCCACCAACTGTCTCTATCTATCTCCACACAGCCCTGGATTTTTTTTAACCTCCCACCAATCAATTGTGTGGTTTACCAATCCTACATATAACTTGCAAACCAAACAATATATAGCCAGTCCTCTTCAAGTTCCAAACCTCCTTCATCCAATACAAAATTAATTTGCCTAAACCTATTGTCAATTTTCTTTTAAGCTCTCTTTCTGAACTGTATTTATTTTCTTTAAATTTTTAACTCTGGTATTTGAACCCAAACTGTTGTTTTGGTACAGCTGCTTTTATGGTGACTTGAAAAGCTGTTACTCTTTGATTAAACTGGAGAGACCAGTTTAATGTAACCAAAAATGAAGCTTGGTCTTTTGGAATCAAAAAAAGTACTCTTCCACTAAGTTGTTACATTTTGTTCATCCCACTCTTCCACCAATGAGCTGAGGGTGGGATAGATGACTCTTCCCATTCTATCCTTACAACAATCTTATGAAGTAATTTAGACTAAAACAAGATCATCTGATGAGTTTAATGGCTGAGTTGGGGTTGGAAACTAGGTTCACGCTGGCACCCTTTCCATTATACCACAGTGGCTTTCCATTGGCAGCACTCACTACAGATCTCAGGATCAAACAGATGTAATATAGGAGACAGACAATCAGACATTGTTACATTTTCTTTATTTTGAATTATCCTCAGGGTGTAATAGAATTGCCAGCCTCCAACTGAGAACTGGAGACCTCCTGGAATTTCAACTGATCTCCAGACTACAGAAATACATTTCCCTTGAGAAAATAGCTGCTTTGGAGGGTGGCCTCTATGGCATTATACCTACTGAGGTCCCTTCCCTCCCACTCACCGCATCTCCTGGATATATCCTCAAAATATCCACACTTGAGAGGAGATGGATGGAGTGTAAGAGAAATTATTATTGCTTGTGAGAAATTATTACTGAATTTTCAAGAAGTTGGGTATTCCAATATGTAGTGCAGAAAATAACTATTTTTATGATTGTTCAAATGATGATCTATAAATATTACATTTCATGTTCCAGTGCTTGAACATGTACTTTTAAAATTTAAGTATGCCACTGCTGGTTTTATCCCATATTTCTTATTCAGATGTTTTAATGTAAAATGATTGAGTGCGCTGGTTGTTGACTGTAACAATAAATTTGATTTGATTTGATGAACATGGACTTACAGATATGCATTAGCCATTAGCTAGCCATATAGCACCTTGGCTCTTGTCCCTTACTGGAAAATGGTGCAGGAGTTCTCAATTATTGTTCTATAATCAGAACCCCAGAGCTGAATAAAATGATTCAATGCTTGTGAGAAATTATTACTGAATTTTCAAAAAGTTATTGAAATATCTCTTATGAAATCACAATTAGATTTTGAATGTAACATGAACATAAATATGGGTGTCTTTAAGCATGGCACAGTTTTTATAACCTCATAAGAACAACCATTGGGATGAGATCAGTGTTTTCATCTATTCTAAAATTCTGTTTCACACAATGGCCAACTACATATCCCAGAAAGGCCAGAAGCAGGTCGTGGTGATGAAAGCCTTCCTCTACTGTTGCCTTTAGATCTGGTATTCAGAGTTTTCCTGTGTCCAAATAGGAAGGTTCCATTTAGTCACCATGGGTAATAGACACTGATGAAGCTATTTATTCTATGAACTCATCTAATCCTTTTCTAATGCTATCTTTAGCAGTCATCACTACATCTTGAAGGAGTTAATTACTCATTGAAAGGAGACCATCATTTTCCAATGCCAAATTTAATCTTAAAGACACTGTTTTAATTAGAACTGCAGGGTCATGCATTTGTGCTGCTTTTCTTCTTCCTTTTCCCATCTGGGCTCTAAAATAGCACCCAAAAGTATATTTAACAATATGAAATGTTAGCCACAATTAAAGCCAGTTTAAACATTTTCAAGATCATATAAAATACAGCTTCTTACAATAGCTGACAGAAAATCTTTTTAAAAATCCTCCATGCATAAAAATCACACCCCCACAAACCCTCAAACCTGCGTGAACGAAACAGTTTTCATCTGGCATCTGAAATGAAGAAGGTGGCATGCCAGTTGAACAGATGCTGAAGATCTTAATTGAAGAATGACCATGCATGGGAGTAAATGGTCCTTTGGCGAGTGCAGAGGTGGGACTCCAATCAGTAGGATTACCAAAAAGAAAACTGCTGATATATTGTTTGCCATGTCCTGTTTAAATGGTATGCCTTCTTGCCTTGAATTTATGTGAATTTATCATTAAAAAATGCTAACGAATGATCTTTTTCATCCAGTCAACAAATTGTGAAACCTTTACATACACACCAGGGCGATGAGGCAGAGCACACTGGTAGCCAAAGGATGTCACACCAGCCAGAAACCACTTTTCATTCTCTGGACACATCAAGGGCCCACCAGAATCTCCCTGGAATGACAAATAGGAATGAAACCCTTAAACCTTATTCCATTCAATCTTTTTTGTTGTTGTTGGAAATGAAATATGTCTGATGAGACAAATTGAGATTTTTTTCAGTAGTCTTAAGTATCCAGTGAGAGACCTGTCAGTTATGTGCAGTATTAATGCAGCCCTCTGCATGAGTTCTTATTTTAGGCTAATTCTTTTGAGTTTGCATGAAGGTCATGTCACAAAGGCTTTGTAAGTGTCACTGAAAAAAGATAATGCTTTTCTTAGCCTGCAGAACAGCTTCAAAGGGACATTGGTTATGACAGCAGCCCATGCCCTATAACAGTATCTGTAGTAGCTTCCTGTTCCCCCAGGGTTAGGATCCAGATGTTGCCTAGAATTGTATTTTTCTAAAAAGAAAAAAGCAAGGATGTTAAGCTAATGAAGTACAACAACTACAAATAGTAAAATGATGACACCACTGCTGGAGAAAAAATTCTTTTGCTGCCAAGATAAGCAGTGCTTAACCATGAACCAATACCAAACTGGGGTATAAAGTATTTATGCCACAATTAAGGATCAGAAAATATCACGATGAGCCATGCTGTCATCAACTATACTGTAGTGTCAGAAGAGAAGATATACAGTGAAATTCTTAAGAACACTTTCCTGGGGTTAAGGCCTATTTGAATAGATCTGAGTAGCATTCTGAAGTGGCCTGTTTAAGACTGCACTCCTTCTGTTTCAATTTACCTGACAGGAATCAATTCCTCCTTGATCATACCCAGCACACATCATATTTTCAGTAATATTGTATTCTGGCATCTGTTGCTGGCATTTTTTGTGTGTTATAAGAGGGACTTCAGCTTCCTGTAGGATACTTGCAACTGAACCTGTTAAAATATGAAAATATAAAGTTGACTAGCCTGCTTCCAAAAGATTATACAAATCTCTAAACTAAATCTCATCCCAGTACTTCTTATTTTTATCAGTGAACAAAAGCCAGTGATTTGGGCTGCCTGTGTTGTTTGTTCAGCTCCAAATATATTTGATGAAGACTACCTATATCCTGATTGCCACAGTATATGGATTTTCTAACATTTTTGTGTATTCATTACATATGTATGATGTAATTTTACAAAAAACCCAAAGAATAAATAGTAAGGATGAAAATGAGGTGGCTCAAAATCCATGACATCATACAGAATCAGAAAGATACTGAGACGCAGTGTGGTGCAGTGGTTAGAATGTCAGACTAGGATCTGGGAGAGCCGGGCTCCTATCTCCATTCTGCCATGGAAAAGCTTGGTGACCTTGGGCCAGTCACAAACTTCAGCCTAAACTCCCTTATGGGTTTTTTGTAAGAATAAAATGGGTCCCCATTGGAGAGAAAGGCAGAGTATAAATTAAGTAACACAAAATAAACAAAATTTCATCTTCATACTGAGATTCAAGATATGTGTTGCACTTGCAGCCAAACATATCAGCATGACAGTGGAGTTTCAGAGGCAGAGATGTCAATTACAAACACATGGGTTAGATCCAGAAATCATCTCATACAATAACTACAGATTCTCATTTAATGACTGTAGATCTTTCCTGCTCCCCTCCCCCACCCCTTACAGCAGTCATTTCCAGTCCTGGGAAAGTTGATTCCCAAGCTCACAGGACTTAATCTAATGAGGAGAGGCAAAGGGATAAAACCACTATCTCTTCCCTTCCATCAATGGAACTGACAGCTCTGATAATGGAAGAAGAAGGAAGGACTACTTTGCCCCATTCCCCTTCTCACTGCAGCCAAATAAGCCATGTGACTATTATTTTATGCAGGTCTCACAAACCTAGGAATCAACTTTCCTGTGGTTGGAAATGGTTATGGGGGGGGGAGGGGACAAGCTATCAGCACCTTCTGGTGATGGATCACTAGATGAAGCCCAGTGTGTACAAATATTTTAAATACACTTGTACCCACTTCTGGGACAGTTGACTGAGTCTTTTGCTGTGGGAAATAAAGCAATAATAGCACATTGTGCAGCCCAATGTGGAAAGAACAGGAAAAGAAAAGGTTGATAATTCTAATGCATGAAAAGCTCAGTTATGGAAACTTTTATGTGAACAGATTCTTTTAGGTTATTTCTGGCTGTATCGCTTTGGGGACTGCATTCGAACCTAATGAGACATGTGATAGGGTCTTGATAGCCATGTATCATTTGTTGATTTCATTTTGTTTGTTTAAAATCAGAGGTCATTGGAAACCATTTACACGTAACACAGAAGATCTAAACAGCCACTGAATCATAGTTCATGGGCATGAAACATTAAATGTGGTTCAAGCCTAAAATAAATAATCAGTAAGTGGATTTAGTATCTTGAGCTGGAAAAAAATGACAACTAAGTTTGCATGCCCCCTATTGCAAATAAAGATATCTTACAAGTTACACATTTATCTTGGTTGCACAAGCAAAACCATAATTTGTTAGAATCACTGCAGGCAATCCTACATAGAACTTCAGATGAAAAATAAATGATCCTTGGAGAGATGCATTTGAAGAAGAACATCTTCAACCTCCTGCAGGCCACAAGCACAGGCAGCAAAAACAATGAAGAGTCTTGTGATGTCTTAAAAACTAACAATGACAGACTAGGTTTGCCCGATTCCTTACATGTTTTTCCTCTGACTCTTATATGTTTGTGTAGATATCTGTCATTACACTGACAACTTTGGATCCAACTTATTGAGAACAAGGAATGCAGCACAGAAGCAAGAAGATCATAAATTCTATAGAATGAGTAAAATGACAGAACATCAAAATGGCTTTTCAATCCATTGGTTAATACGAAGGAGGTCCCTGCTGGCCCAGCTCCTTGCCCCCAATCATTGCTGTTGCTGCCCCCATCCAGCCTGGCAATGGTGAGGCAGAGAGTCATGGCAGAGAGCCATAGAAGGCCCAGTGGCAGTGAGGCAGGGAGTCACGGTGGGCCTGGTGGTGGCTGTAGATTTAGTTTTGTGTCACTGTGATCCTGATTTATGGATTTATGTATCTGAAGATGGGCCCACATATGACCATTAGATACTATAAAAACATACAGACATACAAATACAATTAGCCAGTCTAAATAATAATAATGAGGAGGAGGAGGAGGAGGAGGAGGAGGAGGAGGAGGAGGGCGAATAAGAGCTTACTGGAAGTATGCCAAATGAAGCAAAAGCCTTCACCTGCTGGTGAAAGACAACGATGGAGACAGACAAATCTCCATGGGAAGGGAGTTCCATAACTTTGGCACCTCAACCAAGATGGCCCTTTCTTGGGTTGCCACCCATCTAGCCTCACTTAAGAAATGCATCTGGAGCAGGCCCTCCAAAAACAACCAGAGTGAAGGAGTAGGTTCTTATGGATCCTTAAGGTATGCTGGACCAAAGTTGTATGTTGTTGGGTCCTCAGACATAATGGATTGTACTATGGTGACAAGTGTATTTTAAAGAAGTATACTTTCAAAACATGATGATATATTTTACTCTAATTGTTCAGTTACACCAGAGAATAACATTTAAAGTACGTGGAGACAGGAGGTTCTACTAATGATTTTGAAAGGTAGTTTTTTGGGTTTTTTAAAAAAGGGATGACATACCTTGATTGATGGTCCTTCCCCAACCAGCAATAGAACAATTAGTTCCTGGCAAATATTGTTTATTTTTTTCTGGAAAGCAAATGGGCTGAATATAATCTGTGAAAAAAGATAACCAATAAATTAAAAATCCAGCGTCCAGTCTTTTATGATGTCATTACTCAGGCAGCTTTTCCAAAGACAGTTGGTAGGAGTGAGCCCAGAATGTGTCAATTTCTGAGGACTCAATTACTCTCTAATTTATTTTTCTTTTTATCAGAAAAATAGGAATATCTTAATTTACTGAAGTTCTTTCAGACCTGGGTCTAAATCAGTCCCAATTGTAGAAAAAAATATATTCCTACCTGTGTAATTGATGTGGAACTTAAGATGCATCAAAGCAATGTCACTGTCTTTTGTTCGCTTGTTGTAATGGGGATTTATGATGATTTGATCAATCTCTTGCATGACTGTTTGAGGATATGACAGATTCATGGTGGAATGCAAACCAAGTAATGCTTTCCATTGAGATAATGCTACATTCCTCCTGGGGATTACAAGGCATATTTTGAATCACCTGTGAGTAATTTGTGATATGTCACTTGTGACACTTCTTTTACATTTTGACCATATTGGTGCAACATTCTCTTCCACAATTCTAACTCAGCATGGATTGTGGAGGGAAGTTTCCGAATGCCTATGTTCTGTATTCTGAACATATTGCTTTCTCAAACTGGTAGGAATTGATAGCAATGCTAATATTGTTTTCATCAATCTCTCTCAGTTCCAAATAGCACTGAAAGTATGTGTAATTTAAAAATTAAACCACCATGTTAGGGATATATCCACCATACTCTGACAGGAAATCGCTATGGAGCACCATTCCCTCTTTTCCAGTATATGGGCAGCAACATAATTTCAAGTGAGGGAGTAAAGATGCACTATAATTTATTTACAGCTATAGCCACTGAGCACATGAAAGTTCCAAATGTATCTCCATTGCCTTGTCCCATCCATAACTGACTGGCTAATGGTAGAGAGGAGAGGTAGTATCAGCTGGGCTATCTTGTAGTGTAAAGAAGTGTATACCCATTGTTCTGTCAATTGATCAAGAAAATATGCAGGTATCTTTTTGAATGTAAAATATTGTAAAATATGTACAATTTTTTTTCAGGACAACCCCCCCCCCCCCGTAGCTTAGAGATCAAAAGCTGTGGAACAACTTAACTTCTAAAGGCATACTTTCAGTGCCTTCTATAGTACACTAGTGTGTATCAGCATACCTTTAGGGAATCAGTGACTTAAAATTTTCAGACCAAATATTTACGTGTTGATTTTGGAATTATACCACTAAAAGGGCAGTACTCTAAGCAGAATTAAACCCTTCTAAGTCTATTGACTTTAATGAAAGGTATAACTTATATAAAAGGCTGTTAGAACTCTAGTAGAAAGGAACAGTCTGGGAGGGAACTTTTATAATGGAACAGGATGTTTCTGGCAATGTAGGAATCACCTTGCTTTTACTGCATGGTCATACTTTGTGATCTACTCTCTGTATTGTTTATAGTAGCCATTGCCTTAGATAGTCTGTTTTTTGGATTGTTCCATAATTCTTAATTCCTAGTTCTATTGAGTAGTTCATTGGTTGTTTTATGCTATCTGACAGCATTGTTTTATCCAAAAATCTGCCTCAAGTTGTAGCAAGAAAGGTGGACTAACAACAATAACAACAGTAAGTTTGGTGTAGTAGTTAAGTGCGCAGACACTAATTTGGGAGAACCGGGTTTGATTCCCCACTCCTCCACTTGCACCTGCTGGATGACCTTGGGCAAGCCATAGTTCTGATAAGAGCTGTCCTTGAAAAAGAGCAGTTTCTGTCAGAGCTCTCTCAGCCCCACCTACCTCACAGGATGTCTGCTGTGGGGAGGGGAAGGGAAAGGAGTTTGTAAACTGCTCTGAGACACCTTTGGGTAGTGAAGGGTGGGGTATAAATCCAATATCTTCTTCTCTTCTTCTAAGTCATGCAAAATTATTCAAACAGGATTCCAGAGTAATAAGTAGGGATGGGCAGGAACCAGCTCATGAACTAAAGTTCATCAAAAATTTTGGCCAGATTGTGGCTAGTGTTCATGAGCTGAAGAATCACCATGAACTTTCACAAATTTTGATGCCATGTTGGCTCTTTACAAACTGCTCTACATGGCTCAGTGGTTTAAATGGGCTTTTTTGGGCAGCCAGCTCCTGGGCCTTAAATCCAATATCTTCTTCTCTTCTTCTAAGTCATGCAAAATTATTCAAACAGGATTCCAGAGTAATAAGTAGGGATGGGCAGGAACCAGCTCATGAACTAAAGTTCATCAAAAATTTTGGCCAGATTGTGGCTAGTGTTCATGAGCTGAAGAATCACCATGAACTTTCACAAATTTTGATGCCATGTTGGCTCTTTACAAACTGCTCTACATGGCTCAGTGGTTTAAATGGGCTTTTTTGGGCAGCCAGCTCCTGGGCCTAGCTTCCCAAGAAAGCCCCTTTAAACAGCTGAGCAGCCAGAGCAGTTTGCTCTGCTGGGCTCAGCTGTTTAAAAGGGCTTTCCTAGGCAGGCAGCCCCTCTGGCTAGCTTCCCAAGAAAGCTTCTTCAAACAGCTGAGCTGTGATGATTAGGCTGTTTAGATGGCTCAACTGTTTAAAAGGACTTTTTGGACAGCCAGTGTGGCCCCAGAAAGCCCCTTTAAGCAGCTGAGCCATGCAGAGCAAACTGTTCCACATGACTCAGTGGTTGAAAGGGGCTTTCATGGAAAGCCAGCCCTGGGGCTAGATGCCCAATAAATCCCCTTTAAACAGCTGAGCTGTGGGAGCAGTTTGCTCTGCTGGGCTCAGCTGTTTAAAAGGGCTTTCTTAGTGTAATATACTGGGTTCGAACGCGTGTAGAGTGAAATCAGCTCATCGTCTATTTAGCACTCAAACAGAAGACAACTAGCAGAGCCGAAGTCCTGCTTAAATCCACAAACACACCACACCCAACACCCACACCCACATCCTGTGCAATGTTCCCTCTAAGCTGTGGAGTGTTATGAGCAAAAATTCAACTTTGTGAGCTACTGGCATTAAAGTCGTGAGCAAGCAATTTGCCTACTGCATAAATTAGTTTGCTCTGGAGCCATCCTTTCAGAGCTAAGAAAAAAATGTGTGAGCCGGAGGGTAAAAAACTGTGAGCTAGCTCACACTAACTCAGCTTAGAGGGAACACTGATCCCGTGATAGGCTATTTACAGTGTACCAACACCAGGATCCGGGTTGACCGACTGGTTCAGATCTTAGCCTGCTATTGTTCTAATTAGCGAATCTTTGTTACTTCGCATGACCGCGTGAGAACCCAACTGCATGTGCAGTCCACGGTTGGTACACAACACTTAGGCAGCCAGCCCCTCTGGCTAGCTTCCCAAGACAGTATAGTTGTTAAAATTAGGATAGTTGTTAAAAAAACTGAATCAGCATATGCTTATGGGCACTTAAGGCCATTTTGGACAGTGAATACAGCTATAAAAAGACACATGTATAAGTCTCTTAGGGACCTATTAACAATTCCTTTTAGTCAAAGTTCTTGAATTTAAGATGATTAATACTCCCATAGTGTGAAATGCTGCCTGAGAACTATGGATTATTCTATTGGGTGGTAAGATATCATTAATGGACTGAAGCCATTCATTACATTACTGGGTAATGGACCCTTCTGAGGACAGCCTTAGCCATTACACAGTTCTAAAGAGAAAGGGGCAAGGTTTCTTCCAAATAGTCAAGTGACCAGATCAACTCAGGATGAGATATATCAATCCAAGCATACATTTGGGGTTGTTCTAACAGGTAAAGGAGAAATGAGGTCTGCCCATGACAAATGAGGTGAAACTGAATGACTTTACTCCATTCCACAACAGCATGGGGTCATTCTAACTGTAGAAGATGAAACTGCTGCTGACCTGGGTTTACTTACAAGAACACTTCTCTGGGATGGTATATTTCACTGAATAGACCTGAAGAGGATTCTGAGTAGAGAGATTTCTAAGTATGTCTACTCAGAATTCTAAGTATGTCTACTCAGTTTATTCAATGGGGCTTCATACCAGGAAAGTGTTTTTAGGATTGCATTGTTAGGCTTAAGTGGGCTGAGAGCAAAGCTTTTATTCTGAATGTACCTTTTAAAGATATGAGGTCATTTTTTAATCACACCATTGGCAACAGATTGGATGAGTAATGTATATGCTCAATTGATTCTAGATAAAGGAAGAACACATAGCCTGGCATAACATATTTAAAGTACATGATCACTCTTGATTTGCTTACATTCCTTATTGTAGCTGATAAAATATGAGACTACAAATAAACTGAACACCTACCAAATTAAATTTCGTTTTCAGGAGGGAACAGCTCAAACTATACTGGGTACGCTTTGAGAAATAATTTCAGATTTTCATAGATTTATGAAGGCTGCAGGATAATCTGATCAATAGTGTCACAAACACAGTTTAAATACATTTATAAAATATTTCTTATTTCTCTTCACTGCTATTTTTTTGCCAATATGGTTGTAAACCATTTGAAAATGGATGGTGTGTAAGAGTGTTTCTCCACACACTTTTGTGCATCTTGAACATGCACATCTGTAGAACATACTGCATTCATAAAGAGTCTACCCGGGTTCCTTTAGTGTTCATCCGGTAGTTGGAGAGAATTGTGAGTTATAAATGAGCTGAGCAGCTCACATTGCAGAAACAAAATTTTGCATATATTGGCCCCGGTCACACGGGCCGGATATCGCGGGGGGGAGGCATGGCTGTTTGCCCCACAGCGAAATAACACGTGACTGCATGATCAGGCATCCCCTCGCAGTCCCGTCGAGGTCCTGTGGTTAGGGAGGAGGTGCCGATCACACGACGCGCCAAAGAAGTGGCGCGGCATGGCAAAGGGGGTTGTGTTGTTTTTTTTAACCTGAAGTATGCGCATGCCCCGTTGGGTGCTTGTGCGCATCCCTGGAGACTTCGGGGGGGGGGGAAACCTTTTTGCAATGGGGCATGGGCGGGCGCCGGATGCCACCAGAAATGCGATCAGACACCCGCGGTTTCCGGAAACTAGTACCTCCGAGGTACTAGTTTTTAACCGCGCATCTTTGGAGGGAAGCCTCAGGTTCGCCATGGGAGCTCTACGCTTCCCAGATGTGGCGGTGAGATCGCGCCTGGAAAATCCGCCTATCTTCCATCGCAGTAGCATGGCTACTGCTCCGTGTGACCGCAGCCATTGTATCCTTTCCTCAGCAATGCTTCTTCTTGTGGCTAAATTATCCAAAATGGAGACTGTGACGTGCCTGCTTATAGGGAGACGGTTTTACCTTTAAACACTCATGGAGTACATAAACTTGGTAGTTTTCTGCTGTCCCCAGGAATTAAAATTCCAATTCTCTCTCTTTTGGTAGTATGACCTAGGGTCTGGGCACTTCAGAGGACTATGTGGCCCTGAGGAAGTACTGTACTGATTTCTGGGATAAGTTTAAACAAAAAATTGATTTATTTAATAAAGAACAAAATAAGTTTCTGATTACTGAAAAAAGAAGAACTTGTAAGTATAACTGGCAAAACTTGGTGTTATAAACAGTCACTCAGACTTCACTCTGACAGGCTAATCTCTTTCTCTCTCATAGCCACACTGGCTAAGATCTTTGTCTTAGGCACACAAGATAAAACATTTGTCTAACCACACAGTTTAGACACAATTTGCTTCTTTGCCATATAGACTCTCTCACAAAACTTTTAGAGTCACACAGACTCTCTTCAAAGCTCTTTCACACTTCGGTCTCAAAATCCCCACACACAGATTCCACTCAGAACATCTCCTTCCACACTCTTAGTCATTAGCCAATCAAATCAAACTTAGCTCTCTCTGTCATTCTTCTTACATTACTGCAGTCAAACAACATTTAAAGACACACACACACACACACACCAAAACATGGAATCATTACAGAGATGTTTGTCTTTCAACTTAGAAAGGCTAATAATGGCACAGACTATGTGTGTGGGGATTTTGATTAGCAAAACCATGTGGAGCAGAGGAGTTAAACCCCTCTCCCCTACCTATCTGGCCCAAATCTGAATCAGGGCGTAGCAAAGTTATAATTCAATATTAAATAGAAATAGAGATCTTAGATCTTCATCTCATTTAGCTTAGACCTTCACCTGTTTGGTAGTTCCTTGAAACATAAACTGTAGTAGGGAAACCATCAAATGCAAGTGGACTCTGGAAAATGGGGGGGGGAGAGATCTCACATATTTCTAAGCTAAATCCTTCTGTTTGCTGGACATGAGAAAGGACTGAGTGGAACAAACCTTAGCTGTAAAGTATATGCTCTCAAGAAAAATTTATATGTGTGTCCTGCGAGGCAGCAGCTGTAAGTATTTACACAGAACAGTGAGTCTTAACTGCTACCATAGATTGCCACAACATCTGCTTTTATAGCTACAACCTAGACTTGTGATCCCATATCTACTGCCCAGCAGTGTTCCCTCTAAGCTGAGTTAGTGTGAGCTAGCTCACAGTTTTTTAGTCTCCAGCTCACACATTTTTGTCTTAGCTCAGGAAGGATGGTGCTAGAGCAAACTAATTTATGCAATAGCCACATCACTCACTCACAACTTTAATGCCACTAGTTTACAAAGTGGAATTTTGCTCACAAGACCCCACAGCTTAGTGAGAGCGTTGCTGCCCAGGTGAGCTTATATGCAAGAAAAGCAAACTGGTTCTACTGCAGCATGTACATCACTCAGTTTATTATCACTGGATTGCCCTACATACTTCTTACTACATACCTCCCTCAAAGGCCAAAACAGCCCTGGAAAGGGCCTTCACTCTTCCCCTGTCTTTTACTAAGAGAAACTAAGGCTTGTAAGCTGGCAATACTGTTGTGATTGCCTAGCAATGGCCACTGAGGTATTCATTTCTTAAAGGAATAGGCACTGCTTCTATCATTGGGAGGGGGGTTAACCACCCATTTTTAATGCCATCTTTTCCTGCAAACCTGGGGCTTTCCCCCAGACTTGTATAAAGATCTGTTTTATCTGTTCATGGTTCCAAGATAACGCAAACAAACTAGCCTATCAAAATAGATGGGAAGAAGAACTTAATCTTACTCTTCAAGAATCAGACTGGGCAGACATTTGGGCTTCTCCAGCGAACAAATCCTCAATATATAACATTCGTCTTCAATTCTTCAAAATAACATCTAGGTGCTACCTTACTCCGCAACAGATTCATAAAATTAAACCATCGATAAGCACTACCTGTTGGAAATGGTGCGGCCAGATAGGGTAGTACCTTCACTGCTCGTGGAGCTGCCAGGAAATACAAAACTTTTGGAAGGCCGTGATAACACAGATAAATGGGATCACTAGGCAGACATTGCCATGCAATCCGGAGGTGGTCCTGCTAAATTTGCGGAATGAAGTGATGACAGGGAGCAGCAAAGAACTCATTTCAACGTTACTCACTGCAGCAAGGCTGACAATAGCAGCGGCATGGAAATCACCTTCTCCCCACACAATTTCGGCTTGGCAAGAGAAGGTCTGGGATCAGTTTATAATGGCAAAAATTACGGACTCCTTCAATAGAGCAAATAATAGTAATACACCGACTTACACCAAATTTGTTAGGATATGGGCCCCAGTGCTGGACTATATGGTAACGAATGATATACTCCCTACTAAGCAGATTTATCATAAATGGTTATATTTATAGATTACATCAGATAACTTAAAAATATCAAACTCACAGTAACTCACCAGTGCTGTATGGTGGCTGTATGTCGTTAAACTGTAAGTAATTATCTTAACTGCTATATGTAGAAACCTTGAATCAATAAATTTTTGTATTATGCAATTTCTGGGTTTAAGTTTCTACAGATTTGGTTATGATGAGAATTAGATATATTGATGATACAATAGACCTATAATTGGCAAATATCCCCAAAATACCAAATGAGTCTGAAGAGAAGGCTATGGATTATTCATGGCAACCCTATTAAGTCTGAAGAGAAGGCTATGGATTATTCATGGCAGCCCTATTATATATATATATATATATATATTTGCATGACTTCCAACAAACTGAAATTGAGTACATGCTGTCTAAAATTCACTAATGAGTAAAAAAAAAAGTCTGAGGAATGAAACATTTTTGCACCTAGCAGCAAAAACCTGGAGTGTGAGATTTACCTAGTAATAGAGACCTATTATAAATTACATTTGGAAAATTCATCAGAAGAAATTACACACTGATATCTGAAACTTTTAGATTGACCTATATCTGATAGGTAGAAGAAATACCACCAAGTTATCTATATGAAATAGTACTTTATTGTGAATCTTTTACAGTACAGCCAGTGTTATAACTTAAGGCATCTAACAGCACCAAAATCAAGGAAAGAGGCTGAATAATTATGGTGAATTTTCATTAGTGATGATAAAAGCTTCTTTCCCAGAAATTCATCATGCACCTAGTATGCAAATTGTAATGAGCCTGCTATTGTTCCATAACTAAATTTTCCTCTAAATGCAATTATATAGAACCAAGTTACATTGAATTCCTGAGGATGCATATTGCTGAGTTTCAGGTGTCAGAATCTTGTTTGTGGATAGCAATTGCATTTAATTATATACAGTCACATTTTATCTATTTACAATATTCTATGCTGCCTTTCCACCCAACTCAGGATCTCCAGGGTGGTGAATGATGTGGACTAAACCCAGGGAAGACACAGTCTATTTTTTTGGGAGCCACTTAATTCTTTTCAAGAGCCTGGGAGCTACCAATCACAAAATAGTGGCTCTGTGGGTGGAATGAATCACAAAATCATTTTTGAACAGTTGGGTAGCTCAGGACTCTGCTCCTTCAGTGGTGGAGAGGGTCTCCATCCTGCTATTTGCAGCCAAAACTGTCATTGCAACCCACTGGAAAACAACAATGACACCTTCAATTTCTCTCTGGCACAAGAAATTGTAGGATTTATACATTATGGCAAAACTCTCGGATAACCTTACGCGACTTGACAAAATTCCTGCCCAATCCTCCTTTACAACTATTTGGTTCCCTATACTGGAGTACTTACAAAAATTTGATGATACTTCTAAGGAAATAGATATTTTACATCTTTGGTAACATGTGTATAAGTAGTAGTAATTAGCATTGCTAGACACTGCTAATTGATAACATCTATAGATATGAAAGTTAAGATATGGATGATAGACGATAGAAAATATGACTTCTGTACGTTATTGTTAAAATTTATGTAGTTCACTATTTATAATCTATTGGAGAAATCTGTTACACAACTGATTTATAACTGTTAATGTATTGTTACACCATATTATACATGTAAGTTATTCTGTTATCAAAATATCAAAAATTAATAAAATTATATTGTATAAAAAATGGAAGATTTCAAAAGTGATTACAGCAGCACTGGAGGAGCAGCAAAGAGCTACTTACTATTGCTTGGAGAGTGACTGATCCCTCCTGAGTAACCTTATGGTCACTGATAGACTATATACCATGATGCTGCTTAGTGAATGAAAGGGAAGATAAGCCTAACAAGTTACCTAAGCTACAGTTTGTGAAGAAAGAGAATAGAAGAAAGAGAAGAGTTTACATGCAAAATTAAGGAAATAATGGAAATTACCCATATACACAGTGTGCTGCTGTGACCAGCCATTCATTGCTGACAAGTGACGCTCCACATATTGGTCTGGAATTGAAGTGTAATGACACCATCCAAGGCCAAGCACCTTCACGAGCATTGGTACCACCAACAATCTTTGTACCACTCTTCTGACTAACCAGCCTTTTCCCACATGCTATGGGTGAAAAGGAAACAATATTGAACTCAAAAGCACATCATTTTGTAAGAAGGGTTCAGAATCTAATTATAATGACCTTTCAAAAAAAATCAGAGTAGTTTAGGTATGGGAGTTTCATTTGGGTCTTCACTCTTTTATACTTTAAAATCTATAAATACATAATGAAAATATTCTTCCCCTTATTGGTATGAAAAAATGGCTATCATGTGACATTACTGACATCTTTCCATTCACACAAATAGCTATAATAACCTGATACAGGTAATTTAATATCCATTATTTTAATTTTAAAAATATTATCTTTATTCTGGTTTGGGTTTACTATAGCTAAGATTGCCTCGAGGATTATCAAGAGTATCCTTTTTCAGTTTGTCACACAGACAGACAGAAAAGAGAGACATTTTTTCAAAACAGTGAGGCTTCTTTTTACCAGTTTCCATAAATCATGAGACTGAGCATCTTTCAGAACTACTGAAAGAATATTTTATCTGGGTGCCTTTTGCCAGTCTGAACTAAGACCTAGGAATAAGATTTCTAGCATCTGTTATAACTATTTTATTTACATTTAATATGAAAAACATATTGCAATACATTGTTTGATCAGAAAACTGCATGTGGGTTGACTTTGAGCATTTCCCCTTTTGTATAGACTTACGTTTATCATTACACTGCAGATGAATCACCAAATTATTAAGACACAGTTTCCTAGAATGAGAGAATAGCCATTACATTTGGGGTGTTTGCAGGCCATTTGAGATTTCAAGACAGTTTATTCAAAACAGGGTTTTCCTAAACTATGTTTGAATATGTTGTGAAGTATGAGCTGTGTATCACGTTGGCCATAGACTGGCAAGGATATTGAGGTCCGTATGTGCTGGCCCCAGGAAAATAGCTAGACCACTGACCTCTTTGTTTATTTATCTCTCACTGGCAGATTTGCTGATGCAACATTTGGGAAATCTGTTAAACATGTCGAACCAAAATAATATAATGTACCAGACCATGTGATGAAAGTATGACAGGGAGATCAACACCAAAAAGATGATGGGATAGAGGCTATTAGGGGAAATATCAGCCTGACTACTCCCCCTGTTGGCACCTTGGAAGCAGGTTCTGCTTTTAAAATATATTTGACTAGAAATAATGCCCGTTGCGGAAATAAATACAATGGGATCTAGAAAGAGGCTCTGGGAGAGTGCTCTGGCTTTGGGCAAACAGTGTCTGTTTCCTGTGGCGACCTCAGCAGGGTTTAATGACAGAGTCCACTGTTTTCTCCAGAGGGACTGATCTCTGCTACCTGAAGTGCATTTGTATGTTTGAGTTATCTGTAGCCCTCACCTGGAGAGTGGTAACCATTGTTACCCATTCTCCTCTCCCCTATGAGGTATGTTATGCAACTGAAAATCCCAACTGCCTTGCGGGGGGGGGGGAGTTTGAGGTGTGGAATGGACTGAAGTCCAATCAGCTTCCATATGCAAAAGACCAGGTTGTTGCAGCAGTTGTGGTGTGGGCGGGACCCAGGCTTTGCCTTCTGATTGGTGGCGATATATGCTGAGGAGCAGTGCCATCAGCCATACACTAAGGGAGTGCATTTTAGAATTAGAACTTTGGCACCCACTATTCAATTATATATAAGGAGAGATTAGAAGTATATTGGCTGAAATGCTATGGTTTGGATCCGCTTCCTCACCTGTAGCCAAGGTAGTTCTCTACTGCAGAGCATGTTCTTCTGGCATAGAGTACTTTTTGGTTCATTGAAAGATAGCATTGAGTGCAAGTGCTTAGAACCAGAACAAAAAGCTCTGTAGTGGAGAACCCGTTGAAAAAAAATGTTTATGTATGTGTTTGTGTGTGTATACACCCTTATAAAGTACAATGAAGGCAATGGTCGTAGAAGGGCGTAACTCTTCTTGGGACAGCACTGTTAAGCAGTATGAAGGAAGGGAGAATGAAGAGAAGATGGTCTATAATAGTACTTTTCAGAAAGCAGACAGCAAGTGAGAAATCAACTGTCAGTGCCAAAGATAACAGAGCTGTACTGAAGAAGCTGGACTTTTTCACCCACACTGGAAACAGAGACTAACTGAAAGTTCTGAGTTCCAGCACTCTGTTTTTCCAGGGGAGTTTTGCCTTAGACTGACTACAAAATGTCAGTTTACTTTCCACTTGAAAGATGAAGGACTGGCCAGCTGAACATTCAATGGCATCTAAGAACATGCCCACAACCAGAGACCATTCTGTGTTGGTAACTATATTCTTGTTTGGCATTAATATCATACACATTTCTGTGACCTTTTTTGACCTGGATTTCCAATGCACATAAGTTCCTTTCAGACCTAAAATGAAATGGAGATGTTCATCTTCTATAGCTGGAAGGGTAGTTACAGTGTTTTCTTACTTGAGGGATTTTGTATCCTATTAAAACTATATAAGAATCCATAATAATCTACCCCTAAAATGGGGGGGGGGACAGAATCTATACTTCCCCATTCAAATTTCCTTTGGGGAAGATAGCAATTTGTATTCCAGAATGCTCAAAAGACAATTGCATTACTTTCTTATGTGTTTACACATTCAGTTGCCACTAGAGATCAGTATGACCAAAGATTTTTAAGAAATGTTAGCATGATCGTTGAGAAAAAAAATAATTTCCAGTGATATTACTCTGGTCTTTCAAGTTTATTTTAACCAGCTCCAGAAACTTTAATAATATTTGACCAAGTAAAAGAAGATGGATTCCAGGACAGCAGAAGACAAAGAACTGAATTCAAGCATCTCTATGATTCAGCAGCTTGAAGTATATTTCCTTAGCCTGTAATTCACCTGAACTTCAGAGGCTGTCCTTGTGCCAGCAATTAAAAACGTCATGGATCAGCTAAGTATCACTATGCATCATGAATAAAAGTTGACAGAATGCTACCATATAATCGCACAAAGGAAAAATCAAAATGATTTCCTTAAAACTTATAATTCTTTATTAATGTATACAATAGGCAATACAATTTTAATAATTCATGATAAAAGACATTGTTCCTAACAAGGATAATGAAAAATACAGTGTAGAAGTATCATTAAAATTTGTACTGCAGTATCACTGAAAAATTCTGCTGGGTATGCCTAGTATACACATATACATACATAGCACACATACTTATGAAGGGCTGCAGTGGCTCAGAGCTTAAGATACTGAGCTGCAGACTGGAAGGTCTGTAGCTTGGCAGTTTGAGACCCTAGGGCCACGTGATGGAGTGAGCTCCCATCTCTGGCCCCAGCTCCTGCCAACCTACCAGTTCAAAAGCAAGAAATTGCAAGTAGATAAATAGGTACCACTTCAGTGGTAGGGTAACAGCATTCCGTGCACCTCGGTGTTTATTCATGCCGGCCACATGACCACAGAAACATCTTTGGACAGCACTGGCTCTTTGTCATGGAAACGGAGACAAGCACTGCCCCCAGAGTCGGATTTGACTAGCTTTCAAGCAAGGAAAACCTTTTATATACTTATGAATGACCCAAGACTTCTCAGAAACCAAAGAAAAGTGAAGTTCATCAATATATACACCAAGTGTCTGATGCATTTAGTTTTTCATTACTAAATGTTCAATATTTAATAAATGTAACTCTGGATTTGATACAGTTATGAATTAGATTTGATACAGTTATGAAATGCTCTTCCTTTTGTATGCTCAAGGCAGCTAACAAAAAAAATCAAAGTTGTATAAAGGAATTACTAAATGGATAAAAATAGAAAATTGAGGTCTCTAAGTTTTCTTTTGTTCTTGGCAACTGATTATGTGGAATGCAACAGCAGCAAAGGTAGCAAATGGTTTATAGTCCTTGACCCATTCCTCCCTATTGACAGCCAATTCACAGTGTTAGGGTGTAAAAGGAAAGTGTCTTTGTCCATAAATGATATCTGTTATTCTGGTTCTTGTTTGTATTATATTTAAGGAACTGTTCTTAGATAATATGTAAAAGAATAAGGTATCAAACTATATTTAAATAAAGAAATACACGCTCATCACAACTTATCATCATATTTTTTAAGTATGCTGCAATCACTTACGTTGGTGTTAATATCAAGCTGTTGTTGATTGCCTTTGTAACATTTACAAAGGGCCCATTTCCATCAAACTGTAAAGGAGACGATGTATTCATAGTTCTACAAGAAAAAACAGTTTGTAATAAATCTTTTCAAATGGAACATATACTAGAAAAAAACAATTAAACGACACACATTATCATAGAGTTTTAGAATTTGTTTAGAACTACCGGTGGGTTTCATCTTGTTTGGTCAAAGAGATGTATTGAGTCAAAACCTGTTTTGGGGAACCATTTGTGAAGAAATGTGTGTGTGTCTTAGGTTATCTGCATATGCCTGGCAACATAGGTCATCGATTCATACTGCACTTCAGCAGCTGCTTTACAGTAGCTTTGTGTTTTTCACAACACTGTGAGTCAGCAGGGACAATTTGTCCAATATTTCACCCAGTTTACTGTTGTTGTGCTTCAGTCACACAGTCGAGTTCGACTCTTCGCGACCCCATGGACCACATCACGGTGGCCAAAGTATTTGAGCTTCAGTTTCATTATCTGGCCTTCCAGGGAACAGTCAGGGTTGATTTCTTTGAGGATTGACTGATTTGTTCTTCTTGCAGTCCAAGGGACTCTCAAGAGTCTTCTCCAGCACCATAGTTCAAAAGAATCTATTCTTCGGCGCTCGGCCTTCCTTATAGTCCAACTCTCGCAGCCATACATGACTACTGGGAATACCATTGCTTTGACCATGCGGACTTTTGTTGGCAGGGTGATGTCTCTACTTTTTATCATGCTGTTTAGGTTCGCCATCGCTTTCCTCCCAAGGAGCAGGCGTCTTTTAATTTCATGGCTGCAGTCACAGTCTGCGGTGATCTGGGATCCCAGGAACGTGAAGTCTGTCACTACTTCCACGACTTCCCCTTCTATTTGCCAAGGAGTGATGGGGCCGGATGCCATGATCTTAGTTTTTTTGATGTTGAGCTTCAAGCCCACTTTTGCGCTCTCCTCTTTTACCCTGAGCAAGAGGCTCTTTAGGTCCTCTTCACTTTCTGCCATTAGAGTGGTATCGTCTGCATATCTGAGGTTGTTGATCTTTTCCCCAGCAATCTTAATTCCCGCTTGTGATTCATCCAGGCCAGCATTTCGCATGATGTACTCTGCATATATATTAAATAAGCAAGGTGACAGTATACATCCTTGTCGTACTCCTTTTCCTATGCTGAACCAATCAGTTGTTCCGTATCCGGTTCTAACTGTCGCTTCTTGGCCCTTATACAGGTTTCTCAAGAGACATGTGAGGTGGTCTGGTACTCCCATCTCTTTAAGGACCTGCCATAGTTTGTTGTGATCCACACAGTCAAAGGCTTTAGCATAGTCAATGAAGCAGAAGTAGATATTTTTCTGGTACTCTCTTGCTTTTTCCATAATCCAGCGAATGTTGGCAATATGATCTCTCGTTCCTCTACCTCTTCGAAACCCAGCTTGTACTTCTGGTAGTTCTCTATCCACGTACTGTTGAAGCCTAGCTTGTAGGATCTTGAGCATGACCTTGCTAGCGTGTGATATGAGTGCAATTGTGCGATAGTTTGAACATTCCTTGGCATTGCCCTTCTTTGGGATTGGAATGTATACTGACCTTTTCCAATCCTGTGGCCACTGTTGTTTTTTCCAAATTTGCTGGTATATTGAGTGCAGCACTTTAACAGCATCATCTTTTAAGACTTTGAATTGCTCAGCTGATATACCATCACCTCTACTAACTTTGTTGTTAGTAATGCTTTCTAAGGCCCATTTGACTTCGCATTGCAGGATCTCTGGCTCGAGGTCAGTGATTTCACTGTCATGGTTGTCAAGGACATTAAGGTTCTTCTTGTATAGTCCTTCTGTATTTATCATGGCCAGCTTTGCATGGAATGTTTTTTTGAAGAGATCTCTAGTCCTTCCCATTCTATTGTTTTCCTCTATTACTTTGCATTGTTCATTCAGGAAAGCCTCCTTATCTCTCCTTGCTGTTCTCTGGAAATCTGCATTCAGTTCGGTAAATCTTTCCTTTTCATCTTTGCCTTTGGCTTTCCTTCTTTCCTCAGCTATTTGTAAAGCCTCATCAGACAGCCACTTTGCTTTCTTGCATTTCTTTTTCTTTGAGATGGTGGTGATTGCTGCCTCCTGTACAATGTCACGAACCTCTGTCCATAGTTCTTCAGGCACTCTATCTATCAAATCTAGTCCCTTAAACCTATTCTTCACCTCCACTGTATTTTCATCAGGGATCTGATCTAAGTCAAATCTGAATGGCCTAGTGTCAATCAATTTTCTTTATTCAGCCAATGAGCAGTACAAGTCAAAAATAAAAGCTTTACAGTAAAATCATTAGAAAGTAAAAGAGAATAGGTAGAAAAGCAATTGTCACTCTAGCTTTAAGCTCCTTAAAATGTGAAGTTCTAATGACTTCTTAAGTAAGTAAATCAACAGGGAATAACAGAAAGTTAATAACAAGTTAAATTGATTATCAGACTTGTAACTTTGATTAAGTATATAACTCATGGTTAAAACACTTTGATAGACTGAGCATGTGTGCTAAATGATACTCTTGGAGGAAACCCATAACATATTGGTTATGTTATGTTAGTTTATTAATGTGTGAAAACTTTTTGTGGTCTTTTTATGTTATACATGTAAATAGAAAAATACATGTAAAAAAAATTAAAGATGTCACTTCCAATTTCCTGTGGCCCGGCAACCCAAATGCCACCTGACTTGAACACCAAATAGGATAACTTTGGCAGATAAATTTTCTTTCATTTCCTATGTCAATGTAATTCTGTAATATATGGTTGGCCTGCATAATAAACAATATTCATAGATCACAAGATTTTTATCTAAGGTAATGGGTGGGCCATGAGGCTTGATATTTGCCATGTATCTGAGCAACAAACTAATCAGTTTGAAAGAAAATGAATCAATGTTTGAAAATTCTTTGCTATGAATGCTTTTCCTACAGAGTGCAAAGCATCCCTTTATTATTTAAAAACTGTATTTTAATGGAAGTATGGTAGGAAATAAATGCAAATCACATGATACTGTATGAGAATGCTCATACATGAACTTCTCTGAATCTAAACAATTTGATAGCTGTTAATTCAGACGATCCATATTGACACATATGGAGGAACAGTATGGTTTCTAATTGGCAAAGGTGTCAGACAAGGGTGCAATTTATCTGCCTATCTCTTAAATCTGTATGCAGAACATATCTTAAGGAAAACTGGATTAGATTTAGATGAAGGTGGAGTGAAAATTGGAGGAAGAAACATTAACAGTTTGAGATACATAGATGGCACCACATTATCAGTAGAGAACACTGAAGACTTGAAAGAACCTACTGATGAAGGTTAAAGCAGAAAGTGCCAAAGCAAGTTTACAGCTGAACATCAAGAAGACCCAAGTCCTTGGCTGCATCATCAAGCAAAAGAGATCAAGAAATCTGAAGGAGATTAAAACTGGGGAGGGTAGCCATGAAGGAGCTAGAAAAGATCCTTAAATGCAGGGATGTGTTGCTGCGAACAAAATCAAGTTAATTCATGTCATAGTATTCCCCATTACTATGTATGGGTGAAAAAGTTAGACAATGAAGAAAGCTGACAGGAGAAAAGTAAACTACTTTGAAATGTGGGGTTGGAGGAAAGTTTTACGGATACTGTGGACCACCAAAAAGACAAATAAGTGGGTTCTAGACAAAATCAATCCTGAACTGAACTAGAAGCTAAAATAACTAAAACAAAGTTATTGTGCTTTTTTCCCATTATGAGAAGACAAGAGTCACCAGAAAGACAATAAAGAGTCACTGGAAAAGAGGAAGACCCACATAAAATAGATTGACTCAATCAAGGAAGCCATGGCCTCCAGTTTGCAAGACCAGAGAATGGTGGTTAACTATACAACATTTTGGAGGACGTTAACTTAACAGTTCATAGGGCTGCCATAATTTGGAAGTGACTTGAGAGCACTTAACACACAAAACACATCAGAACATTTGGATTATCCATCCCCCCATAACAAATACCCCATAAGGTCAGATTTCATTATCACCATGATACATGATGACAATGTCAACTGAATTGGAAGATGCTTGAGAATATCCTGTTCTAAGTTTATTTGGTTCTTCTGCATAATTACTAATTGAAGTAACTGTAATTAACAGTAATTAAACACAAATTGTCCATAATTGTTCTATTCTATAGCAATGATCATATTGGCACTTTGTTTAGCTATAAGATGGTGCTGTCTGTATCTAGCAGTGTTCAGTCTTATTTTCTTGTCTGCTGCTGCAGATACTCCAACCAAAGAATTGATCAGTATGAAAGACAAAAGGAATAATTTCAGTCACCCTATTCCTATGCTTTTCCCAAGTGCTGCTAATATAGGGGCAATTATATGTTTGCTTGTCAGATCCCTGTGTGAGACAGCACATGCAAACCCATTGGTGCAACTGAGGGATCTTTAGACTGAGACCAGACACAATTTGAATGTGCTTTATTATCAAGTTTCTTTTTTTAAAATAGACACACATCCATTTAGCATTTTCCACTGAAGTCAAAATACTCAGCTGGGAGATTCAACAGAGCAATGACTAACAATGCACAACTTATCAATAAGGTTTTTGTCTAGCAGGGTGAAATACTTTCCCTGAGGGGAATTGCTGTAATCACATCCATTGGCAGCGTTCAGACTGGCAATTTGGCCCAGCAGGCAAACGTTTGAGGAGCGTTTCAGTAGTGGATTAAAGGGGCGGGTTCACACAGACACATGTTTCAGGCGTCCCCCAGCCATACTCAAGCCATCTTGTGCCACTTCAAGCTTTGGTGTTTGCCAAACTGGTGGAGCCAGTTTGGTGTAGTGGTTAAATGCGCGGACTCTAATCTGGGAGAACCCGGTTTGATTCCCCACTCCTCCACCTGCACCTGGCTGGATGACCTTGGGCAAGCCATAACTCTGGCACAGCTGTTCTTGAAAAAGAGCTGTTTCTGTCAAGAGTTGTCTCAGCCCAACCTACCTCACAGGGTGTCTGTTGTGGGAAGGGGAAGGGAAAGGAGTTTGTAAGCCGCTCTGAGACACCTTTGGGTAGTGAAGGGTGGGGTATGAATCCAATCTCTTCTTCTTCCCTCCCAAGTTTAAATGATACCATGTTAAAGTGGTAGCAAACCGTGTATACAGTGCGTTGATTCTGGTTCCCTGAGTCTGAATGCAAGCGCTGCTAAGGCGGGAACAACCCACAGTCATTGATGATAGGCACTGGCTGTGTCCATGGGCAGGCGCTGTTGGCGCCTGCGCGATCCTGCCCTATTTGTTGCTGTGCCCATGCGCATGGGCACATGCAGGCCAGTGTGGAAACAGCCGCTAACAGGCCACCAGGGCGGCCCAACAGTGTGAACGCTCCCTTGCGCTTCCTTCACGGTATCCTCCTGCTTCATTCACTGCATTGTGAATGGGAATACTGCAAACAAGCCGTTCCAGGTATGTTCTGGGTTTTCTTTGCCACGACTCCTTAGCGCTTCAAATTGCCAGTCTGAACTCGACCGTAGAATGTGTAAAAACATCATATGATGCAACTATTCAGCTTTTGACAGCTTATAGCCTGGAGATCTCCTGGAACTGCAGCTGATTTGCACATTACAGAGATCAGTTCCCCTGGAGAAAATGGCTGCTTTGGAAAGTGGACTCTATAGCATTATACCCCACTGATTTCCTTTCCCTTCCCTGGCTGCACCCCTAAATATCCAGGAATTTCCCAACCTGGAGTTGGCAACCATAATGTAACAATACAAATATAAGTTGCTTTTGTATATTATGGCAGCAAAACTCAGTAGATATCAGCATATCCATCGGGACAAAGTACTCAGGAAATTACTATGCAGACCAAATATCAGCACACTTTCCAACTGAAGTAATTACCAAATGTATGGCAGTCACTGGACAATTGGCAGAATACCCTGAAGTTTTACAAGTAGGCTTAGGTGCAGCAAGTGTGGAGAATAATCTAACACTTGGCAGGAAGATAGACCAAATGACCTAACAGGACTTTTCTGTCTCCAGCTGCTTTGATGTTATGATTGACTTTACTCTTGCCACTTCACTGAAGGGCTTGGAAGCAGCATGCCCTGTAGAGATCTGAGGGAGAATTTAAGGAACAGGCCAAACACATTTATATCAATGGATATAAAATATAATATAGTCTATCTTCCAAAAACATTTCAAACAATTGGGATTGCAGAGATAGTTAACAGAATTTAACACACTGTTCTAAATGTGAGAGACTCCATTTCTTTTCCTTTAAGGTCACTCAGTTTCTCCAGCTGTTCCTCAAATCAAGAAGGAGGGCACTGAGCACATGAACAGCCTTCTGATTTATTACTCCATAACAATATGGGAAGATCAGATATTACTTATGTGGCTAACCTCTTATCTCATAAAAAGCGTAAGAAACCAAATAGTCCTATAAACCTAGGGTTGTCATATTGAAGTTTCCAGATCTGGGAAACCCAGTTTTCAGTCTTGCACACTTGCAATGCCATCCAAAGCACAGAGGAAGTCAATGAAGTCAATGCTATCACCAGTTGCTACACATCTCCTCCTGCAAACTATTTCATTGTTTATAGTTATTTATGTTATTTACAGTCTGCCTTCCTCACAGGGACTCAAGGTGGATTACATATAGTGAGCCAGCAGAATCACATAAAAGTGGAACATTCAATAATCAATGCATTAGGATTTTAGAAGTCTGTAACCACTTGAAAGAACTGAAGTATAGCACTAAGTATTCACATAACACATTAAACAATACAGAAACTACATAAATAGGATACTACTTACAATAAACTAAACACAGCAGTATAGACAGTCCTTAATAGTTTATCCAAGCACGTTTGTAAAACCATTTTGTGCAACCCTATTACCTCTGCAGAAAAGCCCTCTTGAATAGTTCAGTTTTGCATAGTTCGCAGAAAGCCCAGGAAAGTGAGAACTTTCCTGACCTCCTCGGGCAGGCCATTCCACAAGGTGGGAGCCACAAGTTGGGGAAGAAGGATCATAGAAAACATATCTTTGACTAGTCCTTTGCAGGATTTGTCCAGGCTGTCTTCTGAGACAGTGATGCATGTAAGGGGAAGAAAAGAAACATGGAGCAGAGAACTGCGTGGCTCTGCTTTTGTTCAATTAATGTGCAAGTAAGATACCCCCAAGTTAGAGGTCCTTGTTTCTTTTTCTTCCATGTCTTGAAAGTTAAATGCTAAGCAAATACACACATGCTCATTACTTGAAATATTCAACCTTAGCAAAAAATAGAAAGCCCTCACAGTCAACTATAGGAAGACGTGGACTGCCATTCCTGGACAGCTGCCTATTATTTATTTCAATGGAGTTTAACTGGTTTCCATGCAACTGTTAATGAAATGTGGCCCTATGGCCACAGCCTTAAAATCTAGTTCTAGCATGTAAATCTACCCATTTAAATAGGATTAACTTTCAAACATGTGCACACAGAACTGTAGCGTTAAGCATCTTGACTATCTCCCAATGACATACACTCTCTGGACCAACTACACCTGGACTGAGACCTGGAGCATCACCCATTGCTGGGGACCCAGGAAGCTCCCAGATAATTTTTCCCCAGTGACACCATCTACACCAGAAACTATTCCAGTGGTCCTGCCTGGATTCCTGCCAAAGTCGTCTGAGCCACTGGACCCTGTCTTATAAAGTATCCACAGAAGATGGTCAGATACTTTGAAGACACATTGACTACCTCCGCCGCCGTCTCCTCCCAGCCAAGCCAGAGTTGCCAACCGCTACCACAGACTATGAGGCAAGGTTGCTGCAACCACAGGAACCAGAGACCATGAGAGACAACCCCCATTAAACAACACACCACCAAACTGCCAGGAAGGCAAAACACATGACCAGGCAGCCACGGAATTGCCAGATGCCCCACCAGTTCCACAGCTGTCCACCAGCGCTGCACCAGCACTGTCGGACCCTGGTCTAGAGATCATGGCCCCTCAGATGGAACTGCGATGTTCAACCCGGGAATGACACAGACCAGCCTACTTAAGAGACTTTGTCTGCTAAGGTGGTCCTGAACTTAGACGGGAGGGGTGTTATGTACTGAGCCTGAACAGTACCTGGAAACTGACTAAGCTTGTTCCACCAGAACAATAGATAGGCAGGATCCTGGAATGGACCTATAGAGTAGTAGTTGTAATGTAAATAGCCTGTCGTTGGTGGTGGGTTGTACTGGGGTGTGGTCTTTGCAGGCTTTATAAACAGGGCTGCAAGGCCAGTTTTTCAGTCTTAGAGTTGAGATGAAATCACTAATAAACTATAAGCTGATCACTATACGCATCTCGAACCCAGTATATTTCATTGGACTAAGGGTCTGATTCAGTATAAGGCAGCTTCATGTGTAGGTACAGGTGTGTAAGCTGGACAAGGAAGAAATCTGACAGGAAGAAAGTTGAAGTTGATTCACTTGAAATGCGTTGTTGGAGGCAAGTTTTATGGATACCATTGATCACCAAAAAGACAATAAGGAGGTTCTAGATCAAATCAAGCCTGAATTCTCCCTAGAAGCTAAAAAGACTAAATTTAGGCTATCATACTTTGATCACATTATAAGAAGACAAGAGAAACTGGAAAAGAAATAAGGAAAAGTTGAAGGCAGCAGAAAAAGAGGCAGACCCAACATGAGATGGATTGACTCAGTCAAAGGAGCTATGACCCTCGGTTTGCAAGGCCTGAGCAAGGCTGTTAATGATAGGACATTTTGGAGGTCATCAATTCATAGGGTTGCCATAAATTGTAAGTGACTTAATGGCACTTAACATAGAGACACACTGTGTTAGTTCCAGAAGTGAATAAAGCATAAATGAAGAGTGAGATGTAATTTGAGGGCCAGTGTGGTGTAATGATTAAAGTAGTAGACTAGAGCTTGGAGAACTGGGTTCAAATCTTTACTCAGGAGATGGGAACATAAGCAGTACTTGTGAAGGCTTTCATGGCAGGACAGTACAAAGCATATAGCTGGCAAGGGCTGAGTTGATCCAAGAGTAACAATGGGCATATTATTACATGCAAACTGTATTTCTCTACACATCCCATAACCACTCTTCAGAACTTCTTGAATCCATCACGATACAGAAATCTTCCTACAGTTAAACAGGTTAGTGTCTGGATGATAGGCTTTCTAGGAACCCCATATATTCCACCCTGAGATCCATAACAGGAAAAAAGTATGGGATACAATAAACATATAAATACCATCAATCCATTTGGAAAAGTCACTGAAAATTAAGGCACTGTCCCCCACCTATTAGTACATTTTCAAGGGATCTTCCTTGACTTTAAAGTTTCCAACACAATTTCTGCTATTTTGTCAAAAGTGATAATGCTAGTAGGCAATACAAGTCAAGGGCTATTATTCAATGTATAGATAAGTAAGAATAATTAACCAAGGAAAGAAAGGGGGGAAATGTGACCTCATGGGCACCATTCCTTTGAAACTGACTGTAGATCTTTACCGTCATTTATAATATGTCACTGAAAATATACCAGTTAGAAGAAACTGCACAATCATTAATATAAACACCCTGCATTTTATAAAGATGGCCAATAACAGTGCTCTGTGTAGATATAAAACATAATATACAAGTGAGCTCTGCAAATGAGGAAATGAAAACTCATTGAGCTACATCACTTACCCGAACCCCAACCAATGGCAGGTACTACTTGATAATTCTTCAGTCCAAGAGTCTGCACAAGCTATATACCAGTTATTCTCAATCTTGAATTGAACCACTCCATTGAGGATCAGAGAACCATTAAGTAAGTGCACTGTTGACAAAATAGACAGAAATATGTATTTATTTATTGTAAATGTTTATAGCCTGCCTTTCTTCTATTCAATAGAACTCAAAGTAGCTTACGTTAATTAAGAAAAAAAACCCTAAAACCTCAACAGAGACAAGTCCTCTCAAAGGTCCTGACCACTTTTAGCTTTTTAGTACTATAGTCATAACAATTTTTAAAGGCACCATGTATAGAAACTCAAATTGTGAAACTTATATATATTCCCTAAGACTGTGCAAATAAATTATTTGTACTTCCACTCCACACACATACACTTTAAAATGTCTGAAGTCATTCTGGAAACAGTTTCATTACCAATACCACAATATAAATTGTTACCACTACTGCCATGGTTGCTCCTGAAGTGCTTGGGATTTGTATAAAATCCTTCCCTTTAACCACATGTTTAGCACACAGCATATTTACCTCTTGAGTGGTACAGATTGCCATCCTAAGCACCCTTTGATACTTATAAGCCCATTGACTTCTATGTGTTTGAGAGATGTTTGATTATTTTAATAGGAGGCTATTATCCTTCTCACTTTGTTCTTCCTGCAAGGGAAAGGATGACTGAAACCAACTCTGCCCCTGTGCTCAGTGCCTCCTAAGGGCCAAACTAATGTAGTGGTATCCTTGTGTCCACCATGGAAATGTTGCCATCATTTTAAAGATGCCACCATTTCGCAGTCCATTTCAAAATGGACTGAGGGCCCATTTCTGATCAGGCCTGCAGCATACCTTTTCAGGTGCCAAAGCACTTCAGTTTAAAATGATGGCAGTATCCCCATGGTGGACATGGGGATGCCATCACATGTAGTCACCATGAATGCCTCTCCACAAAGGAGCAGACAAGTGGCCTCAAGTCAAGATCCTGGACTAACGAACTGTTTTTCTCTCATCCTTTAAAAGAATCCAGCCTGATGAGAGAACTCTAATGTTCACATACTATTTTGAGTAATTTTGTGTTATTTCTTTTAATAAAGGCTATAGCATGGATATTGCTTTGGGGTGTTTCTTGGGACCAATGCATGGAACTTCTAATAAAATAAATTTGGTCACTGTTAAGAACCAGCTACAGTGCACATAGGCAGGAACAACTATACCAGCTGGGGAACTTGATAAGAATGTCTCATTCTGCAAGTTGTGCTTAACTGCAACATTTACTGGTACTGATCTCATTTTTGGATTTAAAAAATACATAAATAATTTCCCTTAATTAGATTTTATTGCAAAATATTTCCATGTGTTTCTTTAAAAATAACAATGTTAATTCCTATTTTTTGAGCGGGTTGGTGGATAGCCTGTGATTTTGTTTGTCTTCTCTTACAAAAATTAGCAGAAGACATTTGCTTTTCGACACAAAAAGCAAGATAAGATATATGAGGAACTATATTTTGCCTCTGGACATATATACTGCTAATCATGAAGTCCAAGATACCTGCCAACAGATGTCTAAGGGTTTCAGTAGTAACAGTTTTGATTTATCTAGCATAAACTAAGGGAATATGTTTCCAAATCTAAACATCCACCCACAGGAAAAAATCGTGTCAGACAGTGCTTGGTCTGTAATAGCAATTTCATTTTTACCAGTCTCAACATCATTTTAACATCAGTTCTGCGTATGAATTATTGTACAGAGACCATTATATCTGTTTTATGTGAAACAAAGTTGTGTATGGAACATTTAATTTTGGAAATAACTATCTCCACAGATGGTACTATGACAACAGCTGTCACTGTTGTCAAAGTAACCCACATATGTGTTGTGAAACAGTTGAAATGCTGCTCTCCACAGCTGTTTTATGCTCTGTCAAACACTTTTATCAGGCTTATGTTTGATCCTAAACTCATTTCTTGAAAATAAGCATAATAATGTCGTTCTAAGCATACTTTGCAAACATTCTAAAGAGAACCGTGTGCAGATCTATTTTTTCTCCATTTAAATGAATAAAAGAAAGCTTGGCTCTTCAATTTATGGATTTAGTCTGTTTATTGTTGCATATTTAGATATGTAACACCAAACTAGATTAGATAAGTAACACTAGATGTTGCACCCATGCAGTTATTTCAATGGTGTCAACCATGTACATCAACATCAACATGGGGCCCAGTTCTGAGAAGCCAGGATAACTACCATAATGACTTACTAAAGTGGACAAACAAAGCCACTGTGAGCCAAAGTAACATTGCAATGGATCTTGCCAGTGTGTCATCTCTGCATCTATCAGAACCTTTGTACTGCTGTTTTGTTATTGGGCCATAGACACTGGCCAACTAATTAGTGGTCAATAATGCTGGAATAGATTAGAGAAACAATTGCTCAGTTAATTCTGAATTTCCTTTGTTTTTAAGGGATGCAAATGTTGCACACAGATAAAGAGGAATATATTTTAAATGTAGGTCGGGATTGCTGAAGCCATCATTGATTGGGGGGGGGGCAACCAAATATGAACCCATGGTTAACTTTCTTTCATCGTCCCTTAATTAGGCGAGATAGATCTATGTTCATGGTTCTAAGATGAGAAAGAATAGTGAAAATATTATCCTCCTTGAAGATGTATTATATATTGGCTGCCTTTATTTAACCAAATATACACAACAGAAAGAGATATCATGTTCCTAATTAAAGAAGGATTTACCACAGTCTGCTTCATCAGACTTATCTTTACAGTGCTGGGTTTGGTCGCAAAGGTAAACCAATGGTATGCATTCCCCACTTCCGCACTGATAATATTTAGGTGCACATGAATCTGTAAAATAAAAATGATGGTTCATGAAGCAGCATTTTAATTATTATTCTGGAATCTGGACCATAAGGATGAAACATTCTCAATGTAAGCTTTTTAAAAAAAAGTACGCTCAACTCACCTGCCACACCTAGATGGTAGCCAGTGGAGAAGTTGGCTACAAATCCATTCTTAGTTCCAGCCTTGTCAGTAATGAAGAGCACAGTCATCTGGTGAGTTGTGGAGAATATATCTGGCACTGGAGATTTTCCTGTATATACAGCTACTCATAGGGAAACAGGGATATATTCCAGATATATGTATTTTTTCCTTGAAAATTTGTGATATTTTGTTACACATCAAAGTTTGCAAAAAGTTTTTGATAGCATATTGTCCATTTTTTATTCATCATAATGACATTATTTCCTAAAATTAGTCTAGAAAAATATTGCTTTGTTCTTTAAATATTTGTATGAGAGAACAAACTTATTCGGTAAGATATATAAAATATAAAACATATCCCTTCATTCCACCAATAGTCTCTATTGCTATATGCATTTGATTTGCACATTTTGCTGAATTCTTCCTCTACTGAAATATGTATAAACTTTATAGATTTCTTCCTGGGTATAATTCTCCTCAAATGGATTTATAATCCATAAAATGATCTGTCACATTCCAGAAAGCTGCAGCTTCATTACTAGATTTTCCCACATGTGTATGGACATGTGTTGCTTTGTAACATCACATAGCAATGTGGCATGGTGATGCTATTGCACACATCAAACACCAAGCCACTTTGTGATTAACCTAACAATCTCATGGCAGACATATCATGGTGGAATCGAGAAGGGCCACTCCAAAATCAATATGAGTTATGGAAATCAACTGGGAAGTTTCAGTGAAATCTGAGGTGAAAAGGTCAGTTCTACTGAATCATTTCTACAGTGGTACCTTGTGATTTTTCAGCCCAGTTCTAGTTTCATTTATGCAGTCAGTGCTATTGTTGTAGAAAATATTTTTGATTTGTGAAGTTCATTGTAAAATCTAAGAATATAGTAACAATACTATGTTCTGATTCTCGGACAATGGAAATTATTACCAAACGTACTATGTGCATATTAAAGGCTTTTATAACTCAGTTGGCTTGAGTTTTTCAGCAAAAATGAAATGCTGCACAATGCTGCACATTTTAATTTTATATGCTTTATCAAATGGTGTCATAAATCATACTTGCCCAAAAATAAAGACTCTGCTCCTCCACTATCTCTGATTTCTACAACATCATCAATATTTTCCAGATCAAAATATTGGAAATGAAGCTGTATGTTTCTCCCCCTTTCAGCATTTAAATACCACACACCTAGAAGATAACATTTAAGAATGAAAGAACAGAACACTTCCTTTGCTTTATAGACAAAACCATATAGCTCATTGGTAAACATCTGGACATAATGAAATGAGAGCAGCAGTTTATTCAAAGTGACAGCCACTTGCAGTAACATTCCCTTCCAGTCTGAGTGAATAAACAAAATCATTGTTCTTTTCCTTGCCTTTTGAAATCATCTGCAGAATGCCACCTTAATTGACAGCCCAGGGGATAGAATAAGGGAGAAAATGAGCAACCACCCCTCCAGAAGCCAAATGACCAACCATTCTACACAAACAGGTGGCCTGTAGGTAACTGCTTATGTGAATATCTCTGAAGGCTCTCAGAATGCAACAAATGAGTCTGGCAACAAAATAATTTAAAGAAGGAACAGATGAAAAAAGATCTACATAGTATGAGAAGGAAATTGTTAGATTTCAGAACATTGATTTCATGAACAGTAGTGCGCACTACTTATTCTAAGCTTAGTGCAAGCATCTGAGAAAAATAGCACACAGCCACTTGCCCCAGAGCCCCTAGCTATACCTTGTGGCTAATAGCCACTGATGGACCTCTGCTCCATATGCTTATCTAATTCCCTTTTGAAGCTGTCCATGCTTGTAGCCGCCACCACTTCCTGTGGCAGTGAATTCCATGTGTTAATCACTCTTTGGGTGAAGAAGTACTTCCTTTTATCCGTTCTAACCCGACCGCTCTGCAGTTTCATGGAGTGCCCACGAGTTCTTGTATTGTGAGAAAGGGAGAAAAGTACCTCTTTCTTTACCTGCTCTTTCCCATGCATAATCTTATAAACCTCGATCATGTCACCCCTAAGTCAGTGCAAAATAAAACAATGTTTTAAAGAATTTAATCCCAGGATCAAAACAGATACGATCCTGGAAGATCTGTGAGTGGTTCATCCAGGTGTTTGGAAAAGGTAATCACTGCTGTGCAGGGCCCAATTCAGAGGGAAATCTTTCACATCTACTGTTGAAATAATCTCCCATTCCGGCCCCACAGGACACAGTCCACAGCATGCCTCCTGGGGGCCGCATTTGCCTCCTCATGAGGAGGAATGAAGGAAGCGCTGCGGTGCAGCCTAAACTCCAAGAGGGGGAGCGGAGCCTGCACAGTCTTAAAGGCTGGCTCCGCTCTCCCCTTTCGGTTGCTCACCTCGTGCTCTGCCCACCTACCCGCCCTGTATGTAGTGTAAGCACAGGTTGGTTGCCCCGTTTAACGGGGGACCGGGTAGGAATTTTTTTGTCCCCTTCTCTGATTGGCTATTGAGATGGGGTCTTTTTTGCCTACCCTGCACTGCTGTCAGTGGATTGAGGAATTGGTTTCGGATGGTGCCTAGGGGCTAGTTCGTCACTTTGTTAGGGCAGAATTAGGTTTAAATAAAGTTCAATGGCTCGTAAGCACCAATTAATAACCCATGAGGGGGTAGAGGGGTCTGTGGGATCAACCCTGCAGCCGTGCAACCGGGGATGAGGCTTGCAGACTGCCTATGGGGATGGCCATGACGGAGACTCAGCGCTGGCCGTGCGGTGGTGTTTGAGGGCTCCTGAAGGCACATCCCAATCATTGGCTCGGCTGGGTTTGCAAGCGACTTACAGTTGGCTCCAACCCAGGGCCGTGGTGTCTTGCTGTTTATACGGTTAAGGATGGGGTCAAAGCGACACCAGGCCTTGCTGTGCCGCTGTTTTCAGGTTTGCCCTTTGCCGTTACTTTAATATGTTAATAAAGTAACCTTATTTCATCCAACCTTGTTGCCTATTTCTTCCGTCTGGGGGGTCAAAGTTACATTTGTTTCAGCACTCAAATATATCAAGGCCTCTTTTAGACATTTCATGCCATGAAGACAAACTCCTGGGCTGTATTCTACTCCTCTGCTCAGCTAAGTGTGGAGCTTACATCCAAGAAAGGAGAGTTTCTTCAGAGAAAAGCATGTTCCAACACAGGAAGAGGAACCCCTTGCCCCACTGGAGTGTTCTACATGTTAGCTGAGCTGAGTAGAAGAAGACACCCCTGAATTTTGTGCAAAACAAGTGCTTTGGATTCTGTCAGATTCATGAAATGGAGGCAAAGAGAGGCAGAAAGAATTCAAAAGGAGCTGTTCCCATTTCTGCTTCTGCTTTTACCTTTGTGTAAATACACATATATGGCAACATTTTTATTAACATTCTTTATAGGAAAGCACACAGTCCTATAAAGTTTCTCTGTCCAAGTTATTAATACTATTTATTTTTTTCAGTTAATTTTTATCCCCCTCCAAACACATTTATGACTATAACATTTTCCCCAATCTAATTGGAATGCCAGATTTATGCACCGTTCCCCTTAGTCAAGGGATCCTGCCTGCCACATTTCAACAGATAGGAGGAAGCATTCTATTTTGGCAACTAAAATTCATATTTACAGGGCAAATGCACAGAGAGGGGTTTGATAACCCAAGAAAGCAAGTGTTGTGTACAAATAATATATAATAGCATTTTATTTTCTAATAATAAAAAGGAAATCAGATTAATTATACTGAAGTTCCTAAAGAGTAGAGGGGATTTTATTCGGATTTCAGTCAGCTATTTTCCTAATGCACATTCTTGCTAGGCACATTATACTCTTAAGCACCTGTTACTCTTACAACATAGATACGAATCCGATAAAGATCCATGGATGTGCACACTTTTCTTTTAAATAAACAAAATGTGTGGTACATGCTTCTATTCTTATCAATTCTGCTTCAGTTTTGAAGATATAATACTTACAAGTAGCTAGGTTGGGGTATTTGTTGGGGTAGTTCATTGAAGTAAATGTAGTGTTTGGCTCCCACAGATCAAAAGGCCCACCACAGTCAGCTAAAAGGGGAGAAAAGGTTCAGAACTGACAATGCTCTTAATTTGGACTATTGTATTGTAGGTCAGAATACTTAAGAATGTTAGAAATGTACTATTATTAAAACTTTAATGGTCCAATTGCTTACTCTTATTTCCCATTTGTCTAAATATGGTGACAAATTCTACAATAGCTTCTGTTTTTTATTTATTTGGCTTAAAGGTCATTATTAGAATTAGCATCATTATTCATAGTATACAGTTTTACAAGTCATTTAACAATACTCTAATAGATGTTGACTTTAAAGAGCTCCAGAAGTAGCATATTTATCTTAAGATTTATAAAGGTGCCAGTTCCATGTCAGCCAAACCTGATCAGAGCACTGTGTTCAGTTCTGGTTGCTACACTTTAAGATGCAGACAAACTGGAAGAGGTTCAGAGGACAGTAGCAAAGATGATAACTGGTCTGGAAAACACCCCTAGTCATATTATATCGTTTATTGAACACCCCACCCTATTGATTGTATCAATTCACTCTTTGTAATCTGCCTTGAGTCCAAGTGAGAAAGGTGGACTCTAAATGACATAAATAAATAAAATAAAGTCTTATGAGAAAAAATTGAAGGTGCCCAAAGAAGACTGAGAGAGATGTTGATAATTCTCTTCAAAGACTATCAATTGTAGGAGTGCAAAGAAGTATTCTAAGCTTCTCCACAGGGTGGATGAATATTGGCTGAACATTACAAGAAACTTCCTAACCATGGATCATTTTGACAATAGATTTCATGGTGGGGGGGAAATCTCTTTGCTAGAGGTCATGCAGAAGATAAGCAGTCAGCTGTTGGGAATGCTCTAGCTTGGATTTCCTGCATTGAGTACTGGTTAGATTAGATAGCCAATAAGGACATACTAGGATTCTATATTTCTGGTCCTATTTTTTTTAAAAAAAGTTAAAATTATGTTATCAGCATTAACAAACCAGCCAAAATTGCAAGCCTCCTTAGTATTTATACATTAAGTAGAAAAGTTTCTTAAATATCAAAAAGCTAATTTTAAAAATAACTTTAAGTAAAATTGTACAGCTCACTAGGTATGGTATGTTTTATTCTTGGTCACAGATATATCAACAGCTGTGTAGGTACAAAGGGCTTGTCAGAAGCACTTACAGGATCTGCTATTACCATAATGACACCATTAAGTCCAATGATAATTTGAGTACTTTTCTCTTATAATATGGCTTCATACATCTTTGTTATTTTCTTTTACTAGACATGCTAGCCACAGCTTCAGAACAAGCATATAATGATGAAGGTCAATAGCTGTTTATGTTATTTAGGGAAAAAAGCTGTGAAATCTGCCTGAGAGAAGTGTATGACTAATAGCTATCAAGAGGAAAGCCATATGAGACTTGTTTACACATTCATATCTGTAGAAATGAAGCCATGTACATGAGCAATAGACGTCATACCTATTGGCCTTCAGGCTTCTATGCATTCAAGGGCCATGTCTAACTTACAGGCATTCATTTCTATTTCAAGCTGTTTGTTCTCACCTATAAAGCCATTTATGGTCAGGGGCCAGCATACCTGAGGGACTGCCTCTCCCCACATGTTCCCCAGAGAGTACTGCATTCAGGGACACAAACCCTCCTGACTCTCCCTGCCCCCAAAGAGGCCAGACTGGCCATCACCAAGGCTAGGGTCTTTTCTGTGGCAGCTCCATACTGGTCGAATGAGCTCCCCAAGGACATCAAGGCCCTGTGTAATTTATTACAATTCTACAGGGCCTGCAAGACAGAGCTCTTCTACCAGGCATTCAAGTGAGAGCCACATATAACATCTTAAACCAGAGCCTTACCCTGGATTTTCTACCATTGGCTATTACCATTACTGACACCAGAAATTGTTGTTTCACCGTCTGTTCTGCAATATCTATGTATAGCACTTTAGAATTGTTTGTATGATTTTATTCTGTTTTTTTAAATTATGTAAGCCGCCCTGAGCCTGCCTTGGCCGGAAGGGCGGGTTATAAATCTAAAATAAATAAATAAACATGAACAGAGTATGGTCATGGAGAAAACCTGTAATTTCAGTGCTTTGGGGATGGCAGCTGCAAATCTGAGCACTAAAACAGGTAGTCTGCATACATTTATTTATTTATTTATTTATACCCCGCCCTCCCCGCAAGTGGGCTCAGGGCAGCTTACAAGGGAGCTCTAGTGCTCACACATAAAAACACATGTCTCTTTGTGTAAAATATTCACATTTATAATAACAGAATGTGAAAGACTTCCACTTGATCTGTGTACATTTATGCATCATGATAAACCACAGTATCTAACCAGGATTCTTTGTGCAAAAGGTATGGGGGGAGGAGTGAGGTGTATACTCAAACACAGTTACAAGCCGGGTTGTGAGAAGGTTAGCTTAATGATGGCCAAGTGCATCTGAATGTAGCCAACATGTAAATAGCAGCCCTAGCTCTTCAGCTCTGGAGTACTTTATGGGGATTTCATTTCTATTTACAAGAGGGACAGCTTTACCAATTACAAATATGCACTTCAAACCGCAATTCCAACTTTCATTTTGGTAATGAGTGTTTTGGATACTAAAGCAACAACTAGCTCTGAAGACTGCCACTTATTGTTGTCATGCTGTTGTTAGAATTAACAACATGAAACAGTACCATCTGTTGTGTAAGGTTATAGAATATAAACATAAAATACAAGAAATTATGTGCATTTGCTATAATTTTCATGCAGACAGCTTCAGCCAATTCTTGCCTTTTGCGGGTGCGTTTCACATTACTCTGTCTCTAGTTTACTATGATTGTAGCAGGGAGGGAAATTCCTGAGGGGGTGTGTGGATGGCTGAATGTGTGAACAACTCTATGGCAGATGCTGTAACTCTTCCCAAGATACCTCCCTTAGCCAAAGACGACCCAGAAGCCAAAGCTGTGCCTGCTTCTCTGTCTTAGATAAGGGATCCATATATTCACCGGGGGGTGGGGATAGAAGTGTGATAGCTAGGTGGGACATTTGCAGATCGTGATTGGATGTACTGGGAGGCTCTGTTTGAGCTGTCTATATCTTTGGATTCTCCCGCCATCAGTATCACAATATGACATCATAAAAAAAAAATAACCCTACATGCAAGTAAAAATTTGTGATGGATATTAGTGATATTTGGAAATAAAGGTGGGTTTTTTTTAAAAAAATAGAACCATGGTATAACTGCATTAAAAGTTATGGAAATTTTGCTTTTACTTGTGCAAGCAGGACTACTGCCAGTTTATACTGTAATTCGCTAGAGTGAGTTCAGACGCTCTGTTGTTTTTGGCAGGGCATTGTTAATAATAGTAGAATGATAAAACTGTGACAAGTTGAGCGATTGAATTTGATGGTATTCAAGATTTTTGATAGCTCTATAGGGAAAATAGTTTTCAGTATGTCTTAGCTGTAAAAAGGAAGATAATAAAATGAGACGTATTAGCCAGCTTTTCCCAGCCTGAGTTAATACAGACTGTGCCATTATTTCATTATATAGGGCAATCTAATCTTGCTTCTGAACCTCATTATCTGTTCCATGAACACATATATTGCTGTCCTTGTATCTTTGCTTCTCTTGCTTCTATTTACCAATTTATTGGACGTTTATTACACACAACATTTCCCCCTAAAATTGATAAAATTGCCCTTGTGCATCATCAGCTGGATGACTTTCAATATCTATCACAGCAATAGCAAGCAATGCTGGAAACGAATGAATTTGATTAAGGGTTTTTTAATCCAATGCTACAGGTCATAGCATATCAGTGCTCTCACTCACATTTCAGTGAACATCATATTGTTAGGTAATATAATTAATGAAAGCGTTTTTTTAAATTTTACATTAATGATGCTTTACAAAGTGATGTCACGGATAAATTTGCATCAGTATATGATGCTAAAAGCCTACACAGAAGGCAAGAGGGGAAAAAATAGTGCAGATAAAGTGATGGGACTACACCCAAAACATCTACATCCTCTCACATCAGATGAAAAATTCTGGAAAAAAGGCAGTATCTTCCACCCTGGCATGTTCTCCTGGCCCAAACTCCCCCCACTTGACAGGGTCTGGGATGCAGGAAGCAGAAAAACAGAGTGAAAGTATTTTAGGTAGGAGAACATCAGAATGCCAAGGTAGAAAGTACCATTGTTTAATCGAATATTGCATTTTCTGCCATTGGTTATCCCTTTGCTACCAATAACCTCTGAGAATCACCAAATCTGCTCCAGCAGATTGTAAAATTAAAAAAGAACCCCCCCACAAATTAATAGCTATACTTACTGGGTAGAAAAGGGGTTGTCGGTACTGTGGGGATGTGAGTAGGTTCTGGATAAGGACTTTCTGTGCAGAGTCCATTTGTTAATCCTATGTCATCAATGGCAACATCATCCCACCCTGGTCTTTTAATGGCATCAAAAGCAACCTGGAAAAAGAATCACAAAAATTGCACCAGCCCTTTCTGTTATGACTTAGTAAGCAACTGTTGTAGAGGAATGAACTATATATATATATAGTACATATTGTGGACAGCATTACAAAAAGAAGCAAAAGGTTTATTCTAATACGCAGCTGGGAACATTTTGTGCAGTTGGAACTAAATTTGTGTACAGTTGGTTACACGGAATTTAATACGGAACTAGGCTGCATAAAATTGATGAGCAAAATAATATTAAAACTGTATAGCGCACATAGATGAACAGTATAATTCAGTGATCTCCAACATGGTGCCTATCGGCACAGTGGAAGCCACCATTACTGACTTTCTTCCGCCGTTGGAGTAAGAGACATTTCAGAGAACCTAGTAGGTATCATCTTTATATCTTCAGGGAAACAGCTACTTCTGTCATAGCAGTATGCTTAGCTTGAAACCTCCTAACATTTTGTGGATCTTCAAGAGTTTTGTGATTGTACACAGCCCCCCCCCCATGGCAGCCATGTTGTGATTATTCTAACAACCTTACAGTAGCCTTTTCGTTATGGCACCCATTCCCTGTTCTCAACAATCAAAAAAGGTCCACAAGTACTACAAGATTGAAGACTCCTACTATAATTCCTTGTTGTTTACCCTTAATTTTCCTATTCCCCTGTTAGAAAGGAGAAGGGTGCTGTACTGACTGCTTGTTGGGTGGGAGAGAAAAAAAAAACTTGCAGTAATCCTTCACTAATTGGTTGTACAGAACCTGCATGTGTACAGTGGAAGGTGCTAATACACTGCTGAGATCTTAGACTATGTGGAAGGCCAAGTTAGAATATCAATTTTCACAGGAATAGGACTACAGGTATATTACATCAGGAGAAATGGGGGATTTTTCACCAGCACCAGTTACTGATTCTATACTTGAGTTTTTGTTACAAACAATTAAATCCTGCTACTATGTAATATGGGTACATGACAATGGTACAAATACCGTTCCTTCAAAAAGTTTACAATTGAAAACACTGCTAAAGTGCCTAAGAATTCTTAAAGCTTTTAAGAATACACAGCTTTTTACAGATAGGCTGACTGCATGTGAAAGTACCAGTTGCAAAATATGTAACATGCAATTACATGCTATATAAAATACCAAAATGAGTGTGGGCAATAGCTTCATTAGTCTTATCACTAGTTGTAAACATTCTCCAATACTGTGAGCCAAAACTATTGTTTATCAACCACTTAAAGCAAGATTCTTTCTAAATATCATTTAAAATCATCTGTGGGCAAGCCACAGACATTATCCACATAATAGAAATGCAAGGAATTCTAGAGTTCTTAAAAATGAATAGAAACAAATTCATATTCCTACAGAATCTGTGGAGTTCTTCCCTGGCAACATTTTTGGTGGAAAGGCTTTTATCATAACAACCAGAAGATAAAGGTTTTTGTAAAACCTTTGGCCCATATCCATGCTTCAGTACAAGAAAGCTGAAAGAACATTTCAGTTATTCTTGATTTATCAAATATCTTTGGCCAATAATTTATAAACTAGATTTAAGCACATTCTTGTTGAGAAACAAGTTTCACAAGTCACAGAAATCTGTTTTGGATTCAAAAGGTCCCCAGTGTGAATCCCAATAGAAAAAGACTAAATGATATTATTATTTGCAGATGTGAATGTTGGAATCAAAGTCCATAAATGGCCACAATAAAAGTAAAAGAGACCTGGCTGAGAATACTATTGAATATTAATAGTTTGACATACTTTAAAATTAGAAGTTTCATTTAGAAGTATTTGTCCATAGTTCCAGTTGTTTCCATAATTTCCTTCTTTTTGGAAAACTGTCTTTTCAGTGTCATGCTCATATGTGATGTTAATGCTCAAACGATAAACATTAGCACCAAACATGTGATACCTGAATGGACAGCAATAGGTTACTCACTTTGATTAAACTGAAATTCACCCAACTGAACAAATATAAATCAGGTGAATACACAGAGCATATGAAACAGTATTATGATGTCAAAAAATGAATAAATAACAAAATCGGCAGCTTGGCATCTGTTACTATTCTTCTTTCTCCTCATTCAGCTTTCTAATATGCTACAGATTGTTTGTAAATTTTCCTCGATTGATCAGTTCTTGGCACAAGGCTCTTGCTAATACACAATAAATAAATAAGCTTTCACTATGATGTTCTGCCCTGTGATCTTCTCACACTATTTACATTGTCTCTATCCAGAGATTAAAATGAATCAATTAATGCTTTTGAAATCTGACAAAGAAGGATATAATGCAAGTATCATCTTTGCCAATTTTCTTCTTTGTACCTTATATTCCCAAAACATTGCAGTGGAGTTAATTTTACTATTCACAGAATACACCTTCAACAGCCTTCTTCCTTATCTAGGTCTTCCAGTACCTAGCAATAATAATTCTCGCCACTGACAATAAAAAAAGAAAAAGAAAACAATGTCCCTTCAAACTTTAAAGGGACCCTAGATGATGGCTAAAAGCTGATGGTCAGAGGCAGTTTTTTCTCTCTTTCTCTTTACTCATGATGCCCGGGAGGAAATGGATACAAAAATTGTTATAATGAGGCTGTGGTCACACATGCCAGTTGAAATGGATGGGAAGTGAGGCTTCCTCCGGAGGAATTTGCCAAACAGTTGTGAGATCACACCTCCCTTTGTAGCTGTGTGATCAGATGCAGCTGTGGGTGAATCGGGGGGGGGGTTGTTTTTGATGCACATAAACAAGGAATCACACCTCCGCACTGAGGGCCCCCTATGGAGTATGCTATGATGTGTATACTGTGAAGTGGGGGGGAACCCGGCACCAAGCCAGGATGGCCTGATCAGACCACCCCTTATGGCATGAGAATGTTCTTGCACGATCAGGCAGGGGAAAGTTCATCTGTGGCCTGTCAGAACCCATTAGAGCCGGACTTCCCCGGTGTCCTTTAACTCTGCTTCTCTGGCGGAGCAGCGCGGGTTTCCAATGACTGCGAGATGCTTCCCAGATGTTGCTGTCTGATCACTCCCTTTAGATTCATCAGGCATTCACATCAATATCAGATCTAAAGGTGAATGTCTTTTTTTTTTTTTAGGAGCATGATTTTCAGGTGCCAAAATTCCCAAATCTGAAAACTGTGCCCACCCAAAATTATAAAAATAGTATTGAACCTCTTGAAATTTTGGTAAACTGAAAATCATGCCCTTAAAAAGAACCCTGAAATTAAAATGAAATGCTTTTGAAGTACATACTCCTAGGCAAAACATCTGAGGGAAATGTTAAGAGGAAGAGTGAAGAGTTAAGTGAATAGTTAAGCCTTGCTTAATTTCCCCCCCCCCCTAAGTTTCTCTGATGCAGATCTTCTGTCTTACTGCATGCTTTGTAAGAGGCAAGATGCTGTTTGGACATTGTTACAGGCCATTGCAGAATCACTCCACTGTTAGCCTAAGGAATCCTAATGTTTGATTGCGCTAGTGGGGCAGTTCCTGCTCAGGAAACTTTCCATGTATATCCCCAAACTCCCTTGAGCTTTGGATTATGGTTACAACATTGATCTAAATTACATGGAAATTAATTAAAAATTATTCATGTAATAGGGATGGAATTCCATATAGCTTTTTACAGTAATTATATGTTTATCACACCAGAAAATTAGGCAGAACATATCTGAAGCAGGGACTAAAGGTAAACTTAGAAGTCGAACTCGCACTGTTCTAGCTCCAGGTACCCTTGGTGTTGAAATATAATACCCTATGAAACAAAACAAAAAAATGCAATGTTACATCAGTGAGGCATTAATTCTTATGACACCATGTTCCAGATATCATACTTTCATATAATTTAGAATATTTATTCAGTTAGATATTTATACCCAGCTTTCCCCCTGATAGGGACCTGAAGCATCTTACATTTTCCTCCCCTACTCAATTTTTTCTTCTTCTCAATAACCCTATGAAGTGGGGGAGGGGGAGAGAGAGAATGAAAGAATGAATGGCTGTCCCCATGTCACCCAGCAAGCTTCTCTAGCAGAGTGGGAGTTTGAACACATGTCTTAAAGATCCTTGTCTGGTACTCTAATCATTCCACCGTGCTGGCTCTGCCTTGGCTTCAAGTAGACTCCAAATGTTCCATATGAAAGGTGTCCCAGACAAAAAGTAGCCAATGAGCACAGTGCTATGAATCCATCAATAAGAACTGTACTGGAGGAGTTAAGGAGATGATAGGGAGAAGTGAAGTGGGGATGGCAGAATAACAGATTCCTGGTGCCAGCTATTAAACACCAGAGCCCAATTGGACTGAAGTGCCTTCTCCTGGCCTCAGACAGAGAGGGGCAGGGTTTGAGTACCATCCTGTTCCATTGCTCTAGCTCTACTCCCTCCTGAGCTGGAAGCCAAAGCTGGTCTTTTCTCAAAGGCCTCCTTCCTCAAGCCTTTGAAGTCCCTAGCCAGGCCCAGTGGCCTCCTTCTAACCAGAAGCCTTATGCAGGCATAGTCAAGCTTGTGAGCAACCAGTAATGCCTTGTTCTAGGTAATTTCTGCAGTGTTACTCCCCTTCCCAACCCTGAGATTACAGCTTCCCAAAAGCTGATTGTCAGACAGCTAGCAGTCAAAAAGCCAGCTGTCAGTGGCTGCCTGTCTCTTAAAGGACCAGTTGCCATTGAGCAGCTAGTTGGTGTGAGGATGCCGCGGCGGGGGATCCGCACGTCTTCACAGGATCCCTGCTGTGGGGGACAGCGATACGCATTGCACCGCTGTTGCCAGGATGTGACGCTACACGTTGCTCTGGCAACGGGGCTGTTTGGAGTCCCATTGCCAGAGCGACGTGTAGCGTCACATCCTGGCGACGGCGGTGCAACGCCTGTTGCTGTCCCCCGCGGCAGAGCTCCTGTGAAGAATGACGATCCCCCGCAGCGATTCAACGAGACTTGGCAGCCCTAATGCTGGACTTGACCATAAAGAAAGAGAGTCCTGGTATTATCTCCATCACCCCCACCACACAGTTAGGAGTTTTGAAGGTTAGTTTAAAAGAAATGTTAATATTTATCTTAAATTATGTGCTTCTGTTTATTTTTTAAAAGAAACCATCTTGTGCCTGTCAGTTTTAGCTCAGTGATTGATCTAGGCTTGAATGGATTTATACTCAGGCCCAGATTCCATTCCCTTGAGCCCAGTTTATATTCTTTTTAATGTCCCACTGGTAACCTGGATGCTATGTGGTAGGAGGGAAGTTTAAATTCTGATTGGAGGCAAAATCCTGTCTGGGGTAGTGGCTAGCCCTATAGGATAGTCACTACATTCCACCTAAAGGATGTTTATGTAGCTGTTAACCCCCCTCCCCCAACACAGATAGCAAATCTGGATACATTGTAAAAAAATGGATAAGCACATTTGATGTAACTAGTAGTTTTACATCTTCATGGCCCCGGTCACACGGAGCATTAGGCATGCTAGAGAGATGGAAGATAGGCGGATTTTCTGGGTGCGATCTCACTGCCACATCTGGGAAGCATAGAGCTCCCATGGTGCACCCGAGGCTTCCCGCCGAAGATGCGGGGTAAAAACCACGGGGCAAGGGTGGGCATCTGATCGCGTTTCTGGTGGTAGTTCCTGTGCCCGCCCATGTCCCCTCGCAAAAAGGTTTTTTTCCCCCCAAGTCTCCATGGATGCGCACAAGCACCCAATGGAGCATGCACAAATTTCAGTTTTTTTAAAAAACACAACCCCGTTTGCCGCACCACTCCGCTTCTTTGCCGCATTGTGTGATCGGCACCTCCCCCCTAACCACAGGAGCTCGACGGGACCTCAACCCAATGCCTAATTGCGCAGTCGTGCATTAGTTTGCTCCGGGGCAAACAGGCACCCCTCCCCCCCCCGCATTTTCCTGCCGTGTGGCCGAGGCCCATGATATGCTATAGAAAAAGAAGACTGCCAATGGTCCCTGAGGGAAAATCAGATTAGAATGTATCTGATATTCAGCCAACTCATGGATCAGTGATAGCACAGACTAAGGGTTAAGTGTGATATGCCATTGGGATGTCTATAATTTTTTTTTAAAGTAAAGACCAGCCACAGTCAGTGTTCCCTCTAAGCTGAGTTAGTGTGAGCTGGCTCACAGTTTTTTAGCCTCTGGCTCACAGATTTTTGTCTTAGCTCGGGAAGGATGACTCCAGAACAAACTAATTTATGCAGTAGCCAAATCACTCACTCACAACTTTAATGTCTGTAGCTCACAAAGTAGAATTTTGCTCACAAGACTCAACAGCTTAGAAGGAGCATTGGCCACAGTTAAACCTTGTTTGGATTCTGATCATGTGTGGAACAAGAGGTCACCTTTTCCCAAAAGACAGTTTCCCTATCTTCAGTTGTTCCTCCTTTTCCAGAGCTGCTATTTGCCACGTGGTTAAAGCATACATGTATGGTGCATGTACATTTTCCTCTCAGGACAAATAACAGCTCTACGAGACTTTATCTGAGTTCAGTAAAAGGCCATAGGGGGAAGCACCACCCTCTGTACCCAATTATCTGAATGAGGCTGCCCTGAAGATATGTACTCTTTAAAAATGAGAAAATCCATTCACATATCTTTTGGTAGCAGTTCTGAACTCCCATCAAATTTGATTATTTTTTTTAAAAAACCCTCCTATCTAAATTGATTTAAAACTAGCTAGATCTTAAACATAATAAATATGTGCCACTCTGGTTGAATCAGTAACAGCATAATTTTATGCAATACAATCCTATGCAGCATAATCCTGTGCAAAATTACTCCAGTCTAAACATTTTAATCCATGGAGTTAGAATGGAATAATTCTTCATAAAATTGCACTGCAAATATATGTGCCTAGCTTTGCACTGGCAGATGTCAGAGAAAGTTGAGTAAAATAATAGCTCCATGAACACATCACAGCTGTGACTGTTTCATTGGATGGAATACTAGTTTACCTTCCTGTCAAAAATAAACAGAAAATAAATGACTAAGGATAGAATAAATATTGGCAACACATTTTGACACAGGTGACATAACATCACAATTCATTTGGCTCCATGTGGTAGGTCCTAACCTGCCCAAGGGAACAAACAGATCCAGGGAGCTCTAATTGTATGTAACCAAACAAGCTAAGTCTCTAGCAGCAAAATTGTTTTCTGTTTCTGAACACTTCTATTTTATTTCCAAAACATTTTCTAGGTAATACTACTAAAATTAGCAGAAAATCTCCATTTGGCTCTTACCAGAGAGATTGCCAGTTGTATGATCAAAATCAGGGCCAGATGTAATAGGAAAGGTGGGCCCGTTTATTCGTTCCCATTCATCATCATCATTTAAATCTTGAACCCAGTAACAAAAGCCATCTTCAAAACTGCAGTCAATTTTCTGATCATCTTGAAATGAAATTTGCATAAAATAATTTCATAGGCCATGGACAATGAAATTCTACAATGTATTTACTGATTAGGCTTTTTTGAATATCATAAACCAAGTGAAAACACTGAGGCTGCGATTAGATGTGGCATTTGGTGCACAGGGGAAGCAAGCCTATTTCCCCCAGTGGAAATTGACATGGTATTGAGCAAGTACAGATCCTTTGTAACTCTGGGCTCAGCCTGTCACTGCATGATCAGACAGCATGTGTGGGCAAGTGGGTTTTTTTTGCCTTTTGTTCCCCATGTGCATAAAAGAGGAATCACACCTCCACATCGAGGGTTCCCCATGGAGTGCATACTGCTAAGCGAGGGGGGGGGGGAAACAGCACTAACTCAGGATGGAATGAGCAGAGCATCCCATCAGCTTGTGTGCATGCTTGAGCAATCAGACAGGGGAAAGTCGGTAAGCATTAGGACTTGTGATTTGTCAGTTTTTAATTAGTCCATCAATTGTATGACCTCATCTCTCGTGACCTCAATCCAATTAAGGTCTTTTGATACCCCTCCTGAAATCAGTGGAGGTTCTGGAGTGGGCAAGCACCTCTCATTTTCCGCAATGAAGACAAAAGGAAAAAAATGCATTCAGCTTCTTTGCCATTTCCCTATCATTCTTTAGTAATCCTTTCACCTGTTGGTCATCGAGTGCCCCCACTGCCTCCCTAGCTGTTTTTCTCTTATTAATGTATTTGAAGAAATGTTTATTTTTGGTCTTTATGTTGTTTTTTGCAATATGATCCTTTTTTCCTGTCTGATCACCAACTCCCTTTTATTTACTAGCCTTCCACCACCTAAAGGAATCCTTCTTACCTTTTATTGCTTCCATTACTTTGTTCATTAACCATGCAGACCTTTTTTATACCTATTTGTACCTTTCATAACCTGTGATATACATTTTGTCTGAACTTCTAAGATTGTAGTTTTAAATAGTCTCCAAGCTCCCCAAAGGGATTTGACCCTCCTTACCTTTCCTTTCCTAAAAGATCAACCCTGATTGTTCCCTGGAAGGCCAGATAGTGAAACTGAAGCTCAAATACTTTGGCCACCAAATGAGAAGAGAGCACTCACTGGAGAAGACCCTGATGCTGGGAAAGATTGAAGGTCAAAGAAGACGGGAATGGCAAAGGATGAGATGGTTAGACAGTGTCATCGATGCAACGAACATGAAATTGAGCAAACTTCAGAGGACGGCGGAAGACAGGAAGGCCTGGCATGATCTGGTCCATGGGGTCGCGGAGAGTCGGACTCGACGGTGCGACTGAACAACAACAACATTTCCTTTCAGTTTCTTTTTCAAAAGCCCCCTCATCTGAGATATGTTATTACTTCTAAAGTTAAATGTGATTGTGTTGGTCTTTTTGGACATATTTACATAAATGTTTAACTTAATAACATTATGGTCACTGTTCCCAGCGGGTGCTATCACATTTACTTCTCTCACCAAGTCTTGGACATTACTTAGGACCAAGTCCAGGATCGTCCTCTGGTAGGTTCTGTGACCATCTGCTTCATGGCACAGTCATGGCACAGTCATTAAGAATATCTAGAAACCCAATCTCTTTCTCCTGATTTGAACACATATAGACCCAATCGAGGTGGGTAGTTAAAATCACCTATTATTATTTATTTATTTATACTTTCCATTTGTACCCTGCTCACCCCCGAAGGGCTCTGAGCGGCTTACACGGTGCATGGTGCAGAGACCTATGCAGAAACCCTAACTATGGCCACAGTATGTCTGGGGTGGGGGGATCCCTACCAGGTACCCTCCCGGCTCCGATGACACAGTTATTTCATCTAGCCACTATCTTTAATTCCTTTGCTCTTTTTATATCATCCTCTAACCTTTGATCTGGTGGGTGATAACAAACTCCCAGAATTAAACTTCCTTTGGGGCAAACTATTTCCACCCATGGCATTCTGTAAGTGAATCTATTTCTCTTACATTCTCAATGTTACTGGACTGTATAATCTTCTCTGACACACAGAGCCACTGCATCTCCAAGTCTTCCCTCTCTGTCCTTCTGATATAATTTATATCCAGCAGTCACTGTATCCCACTGATTTTCCTCATCACACCAAGATTCTGAAGTGCCCACAATGTCTATGTTCTCTTCTGACACTAAGCATTCCAGCTTCCCCCGTTCTACCTCTGACATTTCTAGTGTTTGCATATAAACATCTATAACTTCCTAGACATGTTGGTCCTGCAACCTTCCTCCTGTGGCCTCTAGACCTTGCCAGGCAGTCAGTATTGTCCGTCACCTTCTCAGTGGCCAGCCCTGAATCATTTCCCTGTGGAACAGTAACAGCTACCCCTTCATCTCTTAGAGATTAGCCATGACGAACCAGAGACACTTCATCTCCTGTTGGCTTTCCCCAAAGATTTAGTTTAAAGACTGCTCTGCCGCCTTTTTGATTTTAAGTGCCATCAGCTTGGTTCCTTCTGAGGACAAGTGGAGGCCATCTCTTTTGTACAGATCCTGTTTGTTCCAAAAAGTATCCCAGTGCCTAACAAACAAACCCTTCCTCCCTACACCATCATCTCACCCATCCATTGAGACTCCTAATTTATGCCTGTCTAGCTGGCCCTGCACATGGAACAGGTAGCGCTTCTGAGAAGGCTACCTTGGAGATCCTGACCTTGAGTTAACTGCCTAGCAGCCTAACTCCAGGACCACATGACTACATTTCCCCACATCATTGGTGCGAATGTGTACCATGACCACTGACTTCTTCCCAGTACTGTATACCAGCCTATGTCCACTACCTTCGCACCAGGTTGCCAAGTCACCATGCGATCAGTATGTGGGTTCACCACCCATCTATCTACATGCCTAAGGATCAAATCACCAACTACCAAGAGTCCTCCTCCCTCCCTGCCCAGGGATGGTTCCTTGGTGCAAAAGGATACCTGTTCACCAACTGTAGAAGAGATCCCTTCTGAAGGAACATTCTCCCTTTCTTCAGCATGGTGCCCTGTTTCCCCTTGACCCTCATGCTCCCTGACAGCGGTGGGGCTGCCGTTCTCTAACTGGGACACATCTGACAAGTCCCTGAGAGTGTTATCTGTAAGCCTAACTGCCTGTTTCTGCTTCTCCAGGTCAGCCACCTTGGCTTCAAGGGTGCAAACACATTCCCTCAGAACCCGGAGCTTCTTGCACCGAGCACACATCCATTACTTCTGTCCAGCTGGCAGGTAGTTCTACCTGTTACACTCAGTGCAATACACTGGATCACCCCTAACCCCCTGCTGGAATTCTACCTACATAAATGTCTTTTTTAAAATCCCCCTTTTAATAAATTTCCTAGTTATGTGGATTTGTTTGTGCAAAGTCTGCTTACCCTATTAGGGATGTGGAGAGATTCGTTCCTTGGCTTACTCACCCGGCTGCTGAACTCACATGTCTATTAAATTCACCTGTATATTCCCTCCTTCCAGACACCTTGTCACTGGAGCTGAGAAACTTTGTCACTGCCTGCTACCTTGTAGAGGTATTATACACACAATTGGGAGTGCTTGATCCTGACCTGGCTTATGGGGAAAAAAATTGGACCTCTAACATCAACCATCCAGATAGTTATCTTTGATGGTCCTAATTAACCACAAAGGGAGATACTTAGCCCTTGTTAAAAAAATAATAATCTAAACCTGGAGTAAGCAAACAGGAGGAACAAACAGGGAGTTTTGTGTGGGTGTAAAGCAGGTGGTAATACTAAGGGTATGGCTTGTGCTTAGTTTATTTGATTTGACTGTTATATTATTATTAAACATTTGTGTTTGGCTGCTTGGTTCTGGAGTTTGGTTCTACCTTAACTCCATTGAAGCTTGTTTTGTCTAGAGTACGTTTGCCTTCCTTTTTATGTGTCTGCTGCTTAATGTGACTCACTTGACTTGAGTTGGTTGGGGGTGGGGTCTGCAGTTACACAGCTGTATACGTAGCACCACAAAGCTAGTGAGCTTGTGATCTGGAATGAGAGAACAGGAGCAGCAAACAAGGAGTTTTGTCAGGGGAGTTTTAGAGAAGTGCAAGAAAGACTGGACTGCTTCCTATATGGACTGAAGCAACATGGCTGGTGAAGGAGCTGAGGTAGTGACCTGCAAAGTCTGTGCCATGTTTGTTTTCTTACCTGAGGGTAATGGCAAGTACACGTGTAGCACATGTAATTTAGTAGCCCTACTGTAGAAGAAGATACAGGGATTTGAGGCAACACATGAACATGTGAAGCTGCCTTGTGTTGAATAGATGAGTGGTCCATCAAGGATCACAGGCTGAGGTCTTTCACATCACCCACTACCTGGGCCTTTCAACTGGACATGCTGGGGATTGAACCTGGGACCTTTTGCATACTGAGCAGATGATCTGCCAATGAGCCACAGTCCCACAGTGAAATCAAGTGCATATTTACTTTCATCATAGAAAACTGTCACAGTCAGGTGGCAGCAGTGGTTATAGCTTCTTCCACAATAGGCATTGGAACAAAGAATACTTACTGTTTAGCTCACTTGTATTAAACGCAGTATATGTTGCATTAAAACCAATGTAATTTTCAGAATAATCTGTAGCAAATTCTACAGTGGCTTTATTTGAAAAAATGTGAATTGTACCAGGATTAGAACCCCAAAGGGAAGCTAAGGATAAAAAGAAAAAAATAACTGGTCAAAAGTGATAATAATTCAGATAATCTGACCATCAGATTTTATGTTTACAGGGCATAGAAAATGAAGCAAACCCCTATGTTTATTCCAAAATCATCATCCATTTATTTCTTAGTTGCTCCTAGCTTCTACCTTGCTAGCAGACTGCTCAAATCCAGCTGAAGTCAATGGTTTTTAGGCAGCCTGTGAGCCAGATAGCAGCCACATTATTTTGCCACTGAGACTGTTTCTGCTTCACATGGGTTCCAATTTGATTATTCTTCAGAAGTTCAGAAGAAAAACAGAAAAGTACTTTATAATTAGATAGTTGCTTAAAAGCACCAAGAATGGTGCCTCTAGCTAGCTGCTTCAGAAACAAAGCAATCGTTTACAGGCCTTTGCCTCATGAGAACACACAGCATTACTATTCTCCTTGATTGAGAGCATGAAGTAATATTTAACCCCTGTACAGATAAAATCCACAAATGGCTGGCTCTCCATGTGGTTAGAGTTGTCATATAGGATGCTTTTAAACAGAGATTCTACAGTGCAAATGTCTCTTTTCACTCACAGGGAAGAGATGAACTGCACATTTCTTGATATGTGTTACAGTTTCTTCATGAACTCTTTGAAAATGGAAATGGAAGAAATGACAAAAGGGTGATCAAATAAAAACACAAATGGTGAAATCTCAATTTCACATGGTGGAATAAAATATAAGAAATGATCAAAAGTATGCATGCATACTTAGGAATATCTAATCTGCAGAAGCTATATAAATGCAAGCCTCCTATTCTATTGTGAGTTATCATCTAACAGGGCAGCCTACAGGCACTCAACTCCTAGCACCATATTCTTCATCCTTCATGGGGATGTTCTTCACACCTAGTGGGGAATGGCCTTATTTGATTAGTACATGAATTTGCCCTGCAATTTGCCCTGTGGAAGCCAGCTCTTACAAAAACTCCATGAAGATTAGAGGACAGGGAAAGTTTTGGATGAAGAGCATCATGGTGCTAAGTAACAATGCATTGCAAATGACAGATTACAAATTATTATTAAAAGTCATCCTACCTCGTAAAATCTTTCCTGGACCTAGGCCTTCATAAATGTTTAGTGTATCCACATATTGCTGTGTATCAAAAGCAGTGAAGTTTATTTTGATTGACAGACCTTGGTTTACACTAAAGAAGAAGAATATATTCCATAATTTAAGAAATGTGACAATTCTAAGCAAAGTGAAAGGACAGATCTTGAAGCATTACTGCTTATACATGCAAAGGAATGGGGGAGCTCTCTGCATCTGTTCAATTAGTTTTACATAAAGGCATTTGCTGGACTGTACCCAAATAAACAAATCCAGAGATAAAGTTTACATAGATCATATTGAAGTACATGAATCAGAGGTAAACAACCAGTCCTAAACTTGCTTACTTGGAAGGAAATCCTAAAGAGTTCTGTGGGATTTATGAGTAAATAGTTTAGTCATGCAATCTAAATTCTGTTTAGATACGCTTAATTTTCTCTGGAATGCATCCTGTTAATAAAAAAAATAGTGCAATAAGCAATCACTTCTACCCAATATTAAAATTTGATATAATGGTTAGAGAGTTGGACTGATACTGGGAAGACCCAGGTTCACATCCCAGCTCTGTCATGAAACTCACTGAGAGATCTTCGGTCAGTTGTTCTCTCTCAGTCTAGCCAAGTTCACATTGTTGTGAGATAAAGGGAAAACCTGTATATTGTTATGGTAGCTATGGGGATGGTTCCCAACTTCCAGGTGGTGGCTGGATATCTCCCACTAATACAACAGATCTCCACTTGACCAAGATCAGTTCACATGGAGAAAAAGACCACTTTAGAAGGTGGACTCCATGGCATTATACCCCACTGAAGTCACTCCCCTTGCCAAACCCCACCCTCCTCCGGCTCCACCCCTGAATCTCCAGGTATTTCTCAACCTGGAGCTGGCAAACTCTAGCTCTGAGGTATGAAAGAGAGGGGTGGGGAAGACTCTGAGGCAACTGCCTTCTGAATTAAAGAAATATCCAATCCCCCACTCTAGACACTAGGGATGGGCATGAGCCTGGAAAAGGTGGTTCGGTTCGTGGTTTGTGGCTGAACCATGAACTGAACCTCGAACTGAACTGGAAAGCTTATATACTGAACCAGTTTGTGCAGTTCATGGCTTTGCAAACCACGTTGAAAGGGCCTGCAGTCCCTTTAAAAAAGGTTTGCACAGGGGTCGTTTCGTAGAAAAAGAGCTAGGGGAACTCATTAGCATAACTCATTAGTATATGCCACGCGAAGGCCCTCCCTGGCCCCAGGCAGGCAGGGGTGGGGAGAGGCAGGGAGGAAGCAACTTACCCTCCCTCTTCTCCTGCCTCCTCCTGGCTGAATGAGGGCCGGAAGCGGGGTGGCCAGAAGCAGGGGCCAGAAGCTTTGTCATTTGCCCCGCCCCCGTACCTCACCTGGGGGAACTGCGATCCCCCGCAATCCCCCCCGAAATGACCTCTGGGTTTGCAGAAAGCCCAAAAAAACAGCTGAGTGGAGGGGAGCAGTTTCCTCCCTGCCGCTCAGCTGTTTTGGGCTCACTTGTGCAGTCCCCTTAAAGTTTAAAAAGACTGCAAAACAGTGTGAAAAACAGCTGTATGGCATAAATCACAAAGATTGATTCAGAGCCCTGAAGAAGCAGCAGGACCTTTAAGGATGATTGCTACAATGGTTTTGACCATTTCGGAGAAGGCTGGGATTTAAAAAGATAGATTACATGTGCAATGGTGCTGTAAATAGTTCACTGCTAATAAATTTTGACAACTAAGTCTGGTACTTTGTCATTGTTTTATTCAATTTGAGCATAACATCCATGTATTTAACATTACTGCATGTTAATATAATGGCTACTTAATATGCTACAAAGTTAGCAAGTGTTACCTGAATAAGGCCCTGTTCATACGAGCCCATTTGGGCTGGGAGCGGGACGGAACGGGGGCGGAGCAAACCAGCACGATCCCACCTCAACATCTGGGGAGCGTGCCGGATCCGTCCCGGATCCGTCCCTACCGGCGAAAATGCGCAGTAAAAAAGAACCACCTACCTAGGTGGTTGTAACCGTTGGAGCGCCGCAAGCCGGGCCGTGGGATCGTCCGGCTTGTATTTGTGCTGGTGCTTCCCGACCCCCTGCCGTACTGCGCATGCTCGAGCATGCGCAGTTCGGCAGCCTCCCCCTCCCAGCCGACTCTTCCTCCCCGGCATCTGATCGTGCCGGGGAGTGACGCGCCGTGGCTCCGGGGATCTGTGGGATCCCGCCGCGGCGTTCCAACTTTGGTGCGGCTCACATTTGCCGCAGATCAGCCCTCCGTTTCCCTGCCGTGTGGCAGGGACCTAAGTAGTGTATCCTCTGACATGGGGAATAATAGATCGTATAATCATAGAGTCAGAAGGGATCTCCAGCATCATCTAGTCCATCCCCCTGCAGAATGCAGGAAATTCACAAATCCCTCCCCCCACACCCCCAGTGACCCCCAGTTCCATGCCCAGAAGGTGACAAAAAACCTCCAAGATCCCTGGCCAAAATGGCCTGGAGAAAAATTATTTCCTGATCCCATTCTATATTCTAGGAGGTGTCATTTGGACTGAGTTCCCATAAAGCACCCATGCAATGTACACAAGCTTTTAAAGGGCATGTTGTCCTCTCACAAGTTATGGTTGTGCCTAGGTAGCTATAGCAGATCCACTAATTGTGTAATGTAAAGTGGATTTCACTTTAGAATAACTTGCAATTTGATAAGAGTATTTCTTCCTTCTATAAAATGAAAATCATGCATGCTCAAATTTACAAATGACTCCCCTGATGCAAACTATCTGGAATTTATTTTCTTATTCTTCTTTTTGATCCCAGTTTCCAAAAGGGATTAAAATATACACTTGACCACAATCATTTCAACATGTTTGTCAAAGCTAATTTGGAAAAAGCAGGAGAGTGCATTTTTATGCAACCAATAATCCTACCTATGTATTCTTTTCTTAGCACTTGCATATGTAGAAGAAGCATGGCAAATTATATCGTACAATAAAAGTACTCAAGGAGAATGCTGGAAAATAATGAGGAAGGCATATTTGTTTAATTTAATGTGATGAGGTAATTTGACCACAACCAACTTATTTGTTTAGATTTATTAAATGAATAATGATATTATTTCTTTGCTCAGGAAAAAATACAAAATTGAAAAAGGAAATTAAAAAATCTTTTTAAAAAGTGGAGTTATAATTAGTTGATATAGAAAGGAAATATGCAAAGAAAATTACAGATAATCTTGGCCTTGGTTCAGATTTTCTTTTTTTTTCCTTAAAAAAAAATCCTGCCTCTGGTGATTTTCCCCATAAATAGCAAAGAACAACAACATGTGCAGGTCTTTGCTGATGTCATCGTGCAATGGATATGGCAGAGGAAGTGTCAAGCAGAAGATAATTCGCCGAAGAGCTCAACAATTTCCCCTTACTCCCCCCCCCCCAACAACAGATGCTGTTTCCTGGAAATAGTTGAACTGGAAGTAGACTTTCTTGACCTTTTCTACAAGTTCAAATTATTAGAAATGAAATAGGGCATATTTCTAGATCCTTTAGTACAGGGGTGGCCAAACTGTAGCTCGGGAGCCACATGTGGCTCTTTCACACATATTGTGTGGCTCTTGGCAGGGCAACTGGAGAAGCAAAGAGAAGCTATGCTTTCTCTTCCTCCTTCCTATTTTCTTTCTTTCTTTCTTTCTTTCTTTCTTTCTTTCTTTCTTTCTTTCTTTCTTTCTTAATAAATATCATTAGCAAACAAGTATCATTGGACAAATAAATATCATCATCAATATCTGTTTTTATCCCTTTTGTTTTTATTTTTGACAGTCTCATTTAACGTTAATAAAAAGCAAATGTGCATATTTTTAAATAAAAATGTGTGTAATATTTGTTCACATCTTGTGGCTCTCAAACACCTGACATTTATTCTATGTGACTCTTAACTGAGCAAGTTTGGCCACCCCTACTTTAGCAGATGTCCTTACGGCTCTTTCACATCTTTAAGTCCCAAGAGGTAATACCTATTTGGAATGTAGGAAAGTTTTATAAAGCACATAATATATGACTAAATGGAATGCTTAAGGAAAGTTGTTGGGACTTTAATAGAGAAAATGTGTTGCGTTTTATTGACAAATAGATTCTGTTAATCATAAAATTCTGTGAAGCCACTTACTGTATAATCCATCGACAAACCAAATTTGAAATATAGGGCTTTGGATAATGAATAGAGTGGAAAGACCCAGAGGTGTCCATCAAAATAAATTTCCCATCACAGGATGTAGCTGTAAATAAATAACCATTATCTTTTCAATTAATGCAGACTTTAAAAGAGACCATTCCCATCTCTGATTAAAATAAAACAATACAAGTTTCCAAACTATTTTGTTTACCTGACATATTATGGAAAAATAACTGTCTCAGTTTAGAGACAAGCCTAGTTACATTTCCAGATAGTAGTACAGATTCATTTCTCTGTATCTCATTTTTTAAAAGTTGAGAGTATCTGGAAAGAAGCTAGTTTCTTATTTTAAATAGTAGCTCCTTAAATTGATTTTCTGTAACACAAACAATAGAAAATAGTTAGATGGATTACTTCACAAAGCAGCTAGCATGCCAAGACAGCTATGGTTGCTCCAATTGTTCATGCTAGATAGCATTTTCTTACTGGACATGCTTTTCCTATCATCATTACTAGGGGAAAAAAACTCTTGAAATGCCTTAAAAAACTTCAATAGAAATTTCAGTAATAGATTTTATGCACAAAACATGAAGGTCATGTCCAATGCTCCCTCTAAACTGTGGAGTCTTGTGAGCAAAAATTCTACTTTGTGAGCTACTGGCATTAAAGTTGTGAGTGAGCAATTTGGCTGCTGAATAAATTAGTTTGCTCTGGAGGCATCCTTCCTGAGTTAAGACAAAAATGTGTGAGCTGGAGGCTAAAAATCTGAGCTAGCTCACACTAACTTAGCTTAGAGGGAACACTGGTCACGTCCCCCCCCCTTCTCATAATGAGGTAAATTCTGAACATGGAACAATACAATTTTCAACACTTTTTCAGGCAAGGCCAAAGACTGCTTTCTGATCAGGGGGAGCCACCACACAGTTTTCCCTTTGCCAGTTCCCAGATGTTTCCGCATGGTCCAAGGACACTGAAATAAAATCTACCAATATATATCAACATGGTCAAATCTGTGGATATGTAAAGCCACAAATGGAGTTATGAATGGATATGGCAGATCTTTCTACAAATCTGGAGGAAGGCCCAGGTTTGCAGTAAAATCTGAAATCTTTTAAAAAAATAGGGGGCAGTTGAAACCTCCAAAATAATAGAAGCGGTACCTGTAGCTTTAAGAAATGAATGCCTTCATTAGCCACTGTTAGGCAACTTCAACAGCATCACTAGCCTTCAAGTCGTGTGTTATGTATTAGAACCGATAGATAGAACTGATAGATAGACATTCCAGGACTATCTACAAGAGACTGGCTGAGCTTGGACCTCTAGAATAATAGCCCACCAGGACTCTGGAAGTGACCAATGAGAAACCAATGTTATGTAAATAGCCTATCATTGGGAGTTGGGTGTGTTTGGGTGTGGATTTTGCATGCTATTTAAACATGGCTGTTGCCCTGGTGTAGTTGTCTTGTTCCTGAAATCACTTAATAAAGTAGAGCTGTTCACGGCAATGTGTATTGAACCCAGTATTTAACACCATGGCTTCTGTCAGCAAAAGGCAAGGCCCTTTCCAGGCCTGTTTTTGGCCTTTAAGGGAGGACTCATTGGGGCCAGATCTGGCAGCAACCACCAAGCAACTTGCTATCACATGACTTGCATGGCTCACCCAGACCTGGCTGCTTGCTATTGTTAAACAGCAGCCACCCAACTGAAGCCAGTGTGGTGTAGTGGTTAGAATTTGATACTAGAATTTGCGAAGTCCAAGCGCAAATCACCACTTTGCCATAGAAGCTCACTGGGTGACTTTAGGCCAGTTGCATATTCTCAAACTAGCCTGCCTCACAGGGTTGTTGTGAAGATAAAATGGAGAAAAGGAGAATGATGTATAGTGCTTTGGATCCCCACAGTTAAAAATAGCAGGGTATAGATGAAGTAACAAAATAATAAATATTGGTAAATATGGGGAGCAGATAGGTGGGAAGGAGATAAAGAAACAGAAAGGTAAGTAAGTAAGTAAGTAAATTTATTACAGTCATTGACCAGTACACAGTAAGAGAGAAAGATAAAAGTATGGGGGTTGCCAAGAGGAGGGAAAGAAGAAATAGTGTGGAGAAGGAGATACAGGGAAAATGAGATTCACCTCACAAATCCTTGTGGGTTCCGTACCGCACAATTTTACCTTGCCTGGTGGCTGCACTGCACAACTGGGACATAGTTTTTCCCAGGTAGAGGCTGACAGGAGGCTGGAAGGAGGGCAGCTGAAGACTAGGGGGGGCAGATAAAGGTAGGTTGACTGGTGGGTGGGAAGGAGAGAAGGAAGCACAAAAATTGGGACTTTAAGGAAAAGGAGAGAGGAAATAGAGGGGAAGGGGAGATGAAATGCCCCACAAGTCCTTGAGGGTCCCATGCTTGTAGATGATATTTTCATTCAGAGCCACATTTCCCCCCAGATTATGGCCTGCCACATGCTCTGTGATTAAAGCTGGAAAAGGAGTGGGCAGTCCTTCATGTCCTATATGTTATTAATTCATGGCAGCTGCATAAGGTTAGTGAAACACAACTTCAGACACAATATTGCCGTATAATTGTTAGACCGGGCTAGGAGGAAGAATGCCTACCCTTTTATCAAGCTTACATTTCTCATTTATGCTGATATGCTTCATGACTTCTTTTCAACATAACAACAGATTAATGAAACATGTTCTGATTTCCACATGCCTCTGGAATTTTTTTTAAGCATTGCTACTAAATGTATTTCGTGCTGTGATGCTTACTTCCTGTAGCTGAATTCTGTGATGGTTGTGGAGTAACTTCATTTCAGGATCATTTTATCATTAAAACTGGGAAGTGATGTCACCTGTTGCCTACATTTGAAGTGAGAAGTTAATTGATTTCTCTGAACTCTAACTCAGCCAGGAAGGAACTGTTAAAGTCACACCATTCTTGTGCTATGCTTTTATACTTCAAGCATATGCTTAGCTTAAATAGCACTATAGAGAATTGTAACACAGACTGGATGGTGTCAGACATAGTTCTTTTGAAAGAAATGTGTTATTTGGTGGGCACAAATAGGGGTAAAATCACTACTGATTCCATTACCCTTTATGCAAAAGATATAATGTTGGGGAAGAGATATGAGTGGGAAGGAAGGGGAAATCACTTTAAGGAGATGTTGGGCCCTCCGGATTACATTACATGGGACTACAGCCCATGTATGCTTCCCCATCTCAAAATATACTCTAAAATGCTTCATATTTTAATACGTCTGCTGATCTCATTTCTATTCTTTCTCCATTTCCCCTTGTCATGCATGCGCAGTACTGCTAGTTCCATTTCCCATGACTATTGCAGTCATTCTTAAACTCTGTGCTAACATTAAACTATTGCGAAGTCTGAAGGTCCCTCCCCCCCTTCCAAAAGTATTCTTAGTGATATTCTGGGCTGGAGTTACAATACAAATAAATAGATTCTAGTGCTAAATTAGTGCAGAAATATGTGCTAGGAATTTACTTTGAACTGGTGATTATGCATGTAAAATACCTTTGCAGACATAATAATATGAATTCACATAAAATAAGCTATTCTTCATTACTCTTGGGAAAAGAATATTACTTTCAGGAAATTTTTAAATAGATCACAATATAAAGTGATTCAAAGATGTCCAAAGGCTAATTGCAGCTGCTTAAATACTTACCGCATGTTTTCTTGTATTCATCAGAGCCATCTGGGCAGTTTGGAATTCCATCACAAAATTTGTCTTTTTTAATGCAGCTTACACCATCATTGCAAAGATCATCAGAAGGTAAACATTTCACTAAAATAAATTTTTTAATGAGAAATTGCATTATTCTGGAATGCTTGTTTCACTTTAAAACTACTCGAGGTAACTTCAGAGAAGTGTCCCTCTGCCACAAAAGAGAATTTTTTAACAATCCCACCAAAGTGAACAACAATACACAACAGTGTAGAACAAATGGCAGGAACAGGATTTCAGGGAATGTTTTGGGCTTCGGCTGCCAGAGAGGGGGTGATAAAATCATGGTCTGAAGCAGGCCCATAGCTACATTGAAACATTCTGGGGCCTGCCCCCCCGACTTCCTACCAAGGCCCCACAACTTCCCCACCTGTCAGCAGCCCCACAGGCTCCATCCTGGGCTAGCGGCCGAATCGGGCAGAATCAATTTCGGCTGACAGAAAGACTCCCGCGTGTCAATTTCAGCAGTATGAGCCGATTGAGGAGTATTTCCACCAGCCGAATGTCAATTTCGGCCCCATTATATCCTATGGGCCATTGAAGTCAATGGTGAAAACATAGGGTATATTCTAGGGGGCTGGAGGGGAGGTGGTTTGAGGGAGAGGCTCCAAACTTGCAGGGTAGCTGCTGGAGCCTCTGCCCAAGATACCCACCATAGTTACCTTTTCCCACCATAGAGAACAATGGATGAAATGGGGCAACCTATTTGGGGGCCCATAGAATTAGACCTCCTGGTCGAATGTTCTTGAAACTTGGTGGTATCTTGTGGAGAGGCTCCAGCAGCTACCCTGCAAGTTTGGAGCCTCTCCCTCAAACCACCTCCCCTCCAGCCCCCAGAATATACCCTATGTTTTTGCCATTGACTTCAATGGCCCATAGGATATACTGGGGGCGATTCAGATCAGAGAATCTGAATCAGCCCACGGCAGCTCAAAAGGGGCCTGAATGGGCCATTTTCGGGGGTGCATTCAGCTCAGATAAACCGAATTCACATCCCTAAGCCTCGACATGAAGCGGTGCAAGGAAGCCTGGCGAGCAGGCTGGCAGGTGAGGTGCAGCCAAGGGGCTGTGGGTCCTGTGGCTGAACCTGCAACTACAGAGATTTCTCCCCTTCTCCCTCCAGTGCAAGATTGCAGACCTCGCTCGCTTGCATGTGCCTGTGCCCTCATCGCTGAGGAAGCTGGCCACCAAGGGAGAGAGAAACACAGCACTCCCTCAGCTTCCCCTCCAGGGTTTTTCCTTTAGCTCCCGCCTTCTCAGTCCAGCCCGGTTGCACCAACGCAGGGTGCACACAAGCCACCAGTGGCAGCAGAGCAGCCATCTCCATCCCGTCTGCTCTCCCACCTCTCCTGCTTTGGCTTGTCTCCCCGGGCGGGCTGCTATTTCCAGGTCTGAGAAGTGTTGCAGCAGAAAGCCCCCCTGCATGGCAGTGAGTGGGAGTGTGACCAAGGCAAAGTCACCGTGGAAGCACGAAGTCAGCCAGGAAGAAAGAAATAAGGAGCCGAACAGGAGCTTGCCACTTTCGCCATAGTTCCCTGCACTCCATACAGCCAATGCGGTTGCGGGGGGAAATGAGAGGAGGAGGGGATCCTCCTCAGGTTACTCGGAGTCAGTGACTGACTTCCACTTATACCCACCCTCCACAAAAGGGGAAATAACCCTGCTCCTGCCTGCAAGTGTGAATTTATTTTATTTTTATTTATCAGTGCCCCCTGAGTTATTTAAAGGCCCCCTGAATTAAGAAATCCTGGCCACGGGCCTGGTCTGAAGATACAAGGATTTGAGCTAATGGAAATGCTAATATGGATCTGTCTTTCTTTCAAAAGCTTGTGTTATGTTCATAAAGGCATTAGTACAGAAACTCTTGATTCTAATGGTGTAACCTACTATTTTATTCAATGTATTTATAATACAGTGTCTTTCTACTTGTATATTTTTATGACTTTGATTTACTGATATATGCCAATAAAGGCTTACTTGACTTGGCTTGACTAGTGGAAATTAAGCTTTCTTCAGCTGAATGTCCCTTCTGCCCCCTGCCTGTTGCTTCTTGCTTCAAGGAACTAATGGATAAGAACTCAAGACAGTCAGAAATTGTTGGTAGACAAGAACACTGTCAGTATTGTTTTTAATGACTGACTTAAGTCTTGTAACTTCAGAAAACTACACTACAGTGCCATCTACTGGAGACAGACAAAATGAGTCCATTTCAAAATGTTTTGTTCCATTCTCAGGGCCAAAACAAATGTGATGGGAACCACAGATCACTATTAATCTTTAACAAGTAAACTATGGACATACAAAGCCATATTTTGATCAGGTCCATGCAGGAGAGGAAGAGGGAATTTAATCTGAAGCCATCCTCATGTTAGCTAATTGGTTTAAAATTGGACTCCCTGCACTATTCTCTGCTGTGGCCTGTCCGTCCTGGGTGGCCCTCCACAGCATAGCCCACAGCCTCATTGAACCATGCAAGCCCCCTTGCCACGTCAAGGCAGTGATCCATGAGGGAGGCCAAGTGTGATCCACTGGAGAAGGAAATGGCAACCCAAACCCATATCTTTGCTAAGAAAACCCCATGGACAGTAGCAAAAGACTACAAGATATGACACTGGAAGATGAGCGCTTCAGGTTGGAAGGTGTCCAATATGCTACTGGGGAAGAGCAGAGGGCAAGTACAAGTAACCCCATAAAGAGTGAAGCGGCTGGGCCAAAGCCAAAAGGACACTCAGCTGTGGATGTGTCTGATGGTGAAAGGAAAGTCCAATGTTGCAAAGAACAATACTGCATAGGAAACTGGAATGTAAGATCTATGAAACAAGGTAAGCTTGACGTGGTCAAAAATGAGATGGCAAGACTGAGCATCGACATCTTGGGAATCAGTGAACTAAAGTGGACAGGAATGGGCGAATCTAACTCATAAGACCATTATATCTACTACTGTGGCCAAGAATCCCGTAGAAAGAATGGTGTGGCCTTTATAGTCAACAAGAGAGTGCGAAAGGCAGTAATAGGATATGATCTCAAAAATGACAGAATGATCTTGTTCCGAATCCAAGGCAAACCATTCAACATCACAGTAATCCATGCCCTAACCACTGATGCAGAAGAGGCTGAAGTGGACTGGTTCTATGAAGACCTACAACACTCATTAGAATTAACACCAAAAGAAGATGTCCTCCTCTTCATAGGGGACTGGAATGCTAAAGTAGGAAGTCAAAAGGTAACCAGAATCACAAACAAGTTTGGCCTTGGAGAACAAAATGAAGCAGGGCAAAGGCTAACAGAGTTTTGTCAAGAGAACATGCTGGTCATAGCGAACACCCTCTTCCAACAACCTAAGAGGTGACTCTACACATGGACATCACCAGATGGGCAACACCAAAATCAGATTGATTCTATAATCTGCAGTTAAAAATGGAGAAGCTCCATCTAGTCAGTAAAAACAAGACCTGGAGCTGACTGTGGCTCAGATCATGAGCTACTCATTGCAAAATTCAGACTTAAACTGAAGTAAGTTGGGGAAACCACTAGGCCTTTCAGATTTGACCTAGATCACATCCCTGATTAATATACAGTGGAGGTGAAGAATAGGTTTAAGGGACTAGATTTGATAGATAGAGTTCCTGAAGAACTATGGACAGAGGTTCGTGACATTGTACAGGAGGCAGCAATCACCACCATCCCAAAGAAAAAGAAATACAAGAAAGTAAAGTGACTGTCTGATGAGGCTTTACAAATAGCTGAGGAAAGAAGGAAAGCAAAAGGCAAAGATGAAAAGGAAATATTTACTCAACTGAATGCAGATTTCCAGAGAACAGCAAGGAGAGATAAGGAGGCTTTCCTGAATGAACAATGCAAAGTAATAGAGGAAACGATAGAATGGGAAGGACTAGAGATCTCTTCAAGAAAATTGGAGAAATCAAGGGAGCGTTGCATGCCAAGCTGGCCATGATAAAGGACAAAAATGGTAGGGACCTAACAGAAGCAGAAGAGACTAGGAAAAGATGGCAAGAATACACAGAAGTACTATACAAGAAGAACCTTAATGTCCTTGACAACCATGACAGTGTAATCACTGACCTCGAGCCAGACATCCTGCAATGTGAAGTCAAATGGGCCTTAGAAAGCATTACTAACAACAAAGCTAGTGGAGGTGATGGTATCCCAGCTGAGCTATTCAAAGTCTTAAAAGATGATGCTGTTAAAGTTCTGCACTCAATTTAACAGCAAATTTGGAAAATACAACAGTGGCCACAGGATTGGAAAAGTTCAGTTTACATTCCAGTCCCAAAGAAGGGCAATGCCAACGAATGTTCAAATTGTCGCACAATTGCACTCATTTCACACGCTAGCAAGGTCATGCTCAAGATCCTACAAGCTAGGCTTCAGCAGTACAGGGATCTACTTCTGCTTCATTGACTACACTAAAGCCTTTGATTGTGTGGATCACAACAAACTATAGCAAGTCCTTAAAGAGATGGGAGTACCAGACCACCTCACATGTCTCCTGAGAAACCTGTATAAGGGTCAAGAAGCAACAGTTAGAACAGGATATGGAACAACTGATTGGTTTAGCACAGGAAAAGGAGTACGACAAGGATGTATATTGTCCCCTTGCTTATTTAATTTATATGCAGAGTACATCATGCAAAATGCCAGCCTGGATTATTCAGAAACTGGAATTAAGATTACTGGGAAAAACATCAACAACCTCAGATATGCAGACGATACTACTCTAATGGCAGAAAGTGAAGAAGACCTAAAGAGCTTCTTGCTGAGGGTAAAAGAGGAGAGCGCAAAGGTTAGCTTGAAACTCAACATCTAAGATCGTGGCATCTGGCCCCATCACTCCTTGGCAAATAGAAGGAGAAGTCATGGAAGCAGTGACAGATTTCATGTTCCTGGGATCCAAGATCACTGCAGACGGTGACTGCAGCCATAAAATTAAAAGATGCCTGCTCCTTGAGAGGAAAGCAATGGCAAACCTAGACAGCATAATAAAAAGTAGAGACATCACCCTGCCAACACAAAAAAAATAAATTCAAAAAGGGACAAGA